AAACATAGATTAGAACAAAACGGGGAAGGCCAAAAATAGATTAGAACAAAACAGGGAGAGGCCAAACATTCAAACAAAGAAAGACCAGGGAAACTCAACAAAAAAGTCACATGGTTCCCACGCCTACCCCCCCTGGTGGTCTCAATAAGGTGAGAAAGCTTTATCTTAAATCCCATAAATATCGAAGAAAGCTCCATTATTTGAACATGCCCACATCCCCAACTGAGAAGTCCTCAATTCAGGGTGGGGAAGAAATCAAAATGGCAAACATTTATTCCAGAAGGCAATCCACCATGCAATCATTACTATGATACTCATGTCTGTACTCAATATTAAATTTACAATCCCCCAAAAGATCACAGGCCATTGGACTGTTTGGCAAAGAGATTTTGCCCCAACTGGACACACAAAATTGATTTCCGATATTATGCAGTAAACACAGTTTGAGGTCCTGATGACCAGAGCCATTTGAAGGATTTTGGGGGCACCAGGGAACAGCCAACTTAATGAGTTTATAGGGGCTTTTAGGGCAAAAAGCCCTCAGTCTTAGATTAAAGGGGTAATAAGGGAAAGACTGCAATCAGGTTAGTACAAAATAAAATGAGTAAAACAGAGTAGGGTTAAACCTGAAAAAATAAACGCAACAAGACAGCGAACGTGTCGGCAGAAAGCCTTCGTCAGCGAACAAAACAACAGAAAAAACGTTATAAAAATAAGAAATAGCACTTAGCTGGTAAGTAGTATCTGTGGGCAGCAATAGAAGTGTGACACTTCTTATTTTTATAACGTTTTTTCTGTTGTTTTGTTCGCTGACGAAGGCTTTCTGCCGACACGTTCGCTGTTGCGTTTATTTTTTCAGGTTTAACCCTACTCTGTTTTACTCATTTTATTCAGTCTTAGATTAAATTGAATGCACGTGTCTTTATGCTTGATTTTTAACTCCAGAAATAAAACCATCCATATGGCTGACATAATGATAACAATATATGAACTTTAAATGATAAATGCAACATAAAAGTTAGTGACCTTCTTTAAGAGCTTGTTTTGCTTTGGTTTGGTCTGCTAGCTTGAGATTAAAACATTTAGCCTGCGTGAGCTCAAGTTCCTCAACAACATGATGGTCTTCAAGTTCAGCAACAGAAAGTATCAGTCAAATGAATTCAGACAACAATCTATTTCTGAGTCTCATATGTATAGTCCAATCGTAAGTTCACTGACCTCAGGCCTATTGGAAACAAAACTAGGGTTTGGATTAGTATTTTTGAACTCATTCATAGGAGAGTTTGTGATGATCCCATCCACCATCTGACATGGGATAGTGGTGGGAACAACCAATAGGGCTTGGGAGGGGAGATGGGGTGGAGGGGGTGGAGGGAGGGGGGTGGAGGCTGTTCTCTACGGCTAAAGAAGAAATGGCAAAAACCAAGCCCCCTGTACATAGAATGTTGGTACACATAGATTCAAACAAGTTCAAGCTGCACTGCATCTGTTTATAGCCAACCCCAAGGTGAAATCACAAAAGCAGGGAAAGATGTGTAGAAGCATGTTTTCCCACTTTTCATGGGATCCAACAGAGCAAACAAGTAAACAGATGTCCCAGAATGACTTGTAAGAGATAAAAACCCTTTGATGAGTTCAAAGACCAGCTCTAGACGGCAGAACCATTCAAAAAATCATCAAGAGTGGAGTGAAACACCATCAACCAATGTCCAGTTTCTCAAGTAGTCTATAACAACAGAAATTTAGATTTTACAATATTTGAAAAGACGACACTGCAGAAATGTATATTCACCAGCAACAGGGTGATCACGATTGTACACAGGGTGATCACCAATTGTACACAGGGTGATCCCCATTCTATACAGGGTGATCTCCATTGTACACATCATTTGTTTGAAGTTGACACACCAGGTCAGTTTAATATAACTGGCCAGAGTTGGGAATATGCTTCAACCAGATGTCACAAAATGACGGGGAAATATGAATTTGCGACCTCTATATTTTCTTATATTTTCTTATATTTTCCCTTCATCATAAAAAAAACAACTCGTTAGCGTGACATTTAATGAGAGACTCCACCAGTAAGACAATCCACCAGTAAGACAATCCACCAGTAAGACAATCCACCAGCCCCGTGACCTACGCCTTATTGTAAAATAGGGTTTCTATGACGGCCGAGTTATGAAATATTGAGTGTAAAAACAAACATAAAAATATAAAGTAATTAAAAATGAAATTTCTGTTGACAGCACCCACAGGGACGAAAATGTCTTATACAAAGTTCAACATTAAAAAATAGTCTGTAGCATAGCGTTTATCACAATGTACAACTGAACAACATTCAACAAAATAATGTTTGTTATGAAGCAAAGTTCTGTGATTGAAGATTATAAATGTTCACAAGCCTGTCTTTCCAGGGGGAGTTAAGAATTGCCAATCACATTTATAGACTCTGTCTAGCCACAGAGTCTTCTGTCTAGCCACAGAGTCTTCTGTCTAGCCACAGAGACTTCTGTCTAGCCACAGAGACTTCTGTCTAGCCACAGAGTCTTCTGTCTAGCCACAGAGACTTCTGTCTATCCACAGAGTCTTCTGTCTATCCACAGAGTCTTCTGTCTATCCTCAGTCTTCTGTCTATCCACAGAGTCTTCTGTCTATCCACAGAGTCTTCTGTCTATCCACAGAGTCTTCTGTCTATCCACAGAGAAGTTAATTAAAATTATAATGTTTCAAATCTTTCAATTAATTGGGAAGTTTCAGCATTATAGAAAAAAAAAGTCATTTCTATTTCATGAAATTTTACAATGAAAACTGAACAAAATTCAGTTTTCACTAGAAACCGACTTGACAAATTGATAGCACCCTGATTAGGTCAACGGTGTGTGCAGCTTGAAAACTTAACACTATATCATGCTTGAAGAAACTATAGTGACGATGCTAAAATTAAATTAAGAGAATGTCGGTCTGGGATCTGGCACAACGAGTCAAATGAGTTAAACTCTCGGCCTTTTGAATTGACATCCTGCTGGACTTTTGTTAGGACTTTTCATCATTTTACCTCTCTAAGATCATGGGAACATTTCCCCTCTCTAAGATCATGGGAACATTTCCCCTCTCTAAGATCATGGGAACATTTTACCTCTCTAAGATCATGGGAACATTTCCCCTCTCTAAGATCATGGGAACATTTTAACACTCTAAGATCATGGGAACATTTCCCCTCTCTAAGATCATGGGAACATTTTAACCCTCTAAGATCATGGGAACATTTTACCTCTCTAAGATCATGGGAACATTTTACCTCTCTAAGATCATGGGAACATTTCCCCTCTCTAAGATCATGGGAACATTTTAACCCTCTAAGATCATGGGAACATTTTACCTCTCTAAGATCATGGGAACATTTTACCTCTCTAAGATCATGGGAACATTTCCCCTCTCTAAGATCATGGGAACATTTTAACCCTCTAAGATCATGGGAACATTTTACCTCTCTAAGATCATGGGAACATTTTACCTCTCTAAGATCATGGGAACATTTCCCCTCTCTAAGATCATGGGAACATTTTAACCCTCTAAGATCATGGGAACATTTTACCTCTCTAAGATCATGGGAACATTTTACCTCTCTAAGATCATGGGAACATTTTACCTCTCTAAGATCATGGGAACATTTTACCTCTCTAAGATCATAGGAACATTTTACCTCTAATATCATGGGAACATTTTACCCCTCTAAGATCATGGAAACATTTTACCTCTCTAAGATCATGGGAACATTTTACCTCTCTAATATCATGGGAACATTTTACCTCTCTAAGGTCATGGGAACATTTTACCTCTCTAATATCATGGGAACATTTTACCTCTCTAAGATCATGGGAACATTTTACCTCTCTAAGATCATGGGAACATTTTACCTCTCTAAGATCATGGAAACATTTTACCCCTCTAAGATCATGGGAACATTTTACCTCTCTAATATCATGGAACATTTTACCTCTCTAAGATCATGGGAACATTTTACCTCTCTAAGATCATGGGAACATTTTACCCCTCTAAGATCATGGGAAGATTTTACCTCTCTAATATCATGGGAACATTTCACCCCTCTAAGATCATGGTAACATTTGACCTCTCTAAGATCATGGGAACACAGGCAAGAACAATAAACTTTTTAAGATAACTAAAAAAAAATGTGACATCATGAACATGGGCACGCTACTCTCATTATTTGGAATCAGTTGTTGATAGAGAAATTCTTTTATCCTTCATTTTCATAAACAGACACAACAAATATAATGTTAGAATATAGTTAAATTTACAATTTGGATTCTGCAATCCTTTACCATCCGGGCCAGGTCTCATTGTCAGGCTATGAGCCAGGTCTCACCATCTGGCATTCTCTTCACACACTATTTAACACATGTAAAAATTAGCGAAAATCTAAAATGTGCTACCTATTCTTGCATCATCGCCGTGTCTCATTCATTAATATGTATTTATGTTAACTCAAGAGGGCCCCAGTTTTAAGTAGCTTGTGGCAAAGCTTATTAAAAAGATAATGCATCAACCTTTTAGCACAGCTAATAACTGCACCGACACAAAATACTGACAGATGAGAAGATTTTTAAAATAACAAATGATTGGGTCTGTTCTGTAATGCTTTCAATTAAATAATATTGTTGACTAAATGTGTATACTATTGTTGACTAAATGTGTATACTATTGTTGACTAAATGTGTATACTATTGTTGACTTAATGTGTATACTATTGTTGACTTAATATGTATACTATTGTTGACTAAATGTGTATACTATTGTTGACTAAATATGTATACTGAAAGATTTCTTGGACAATAACATCACGGTCATCATGTGAATCAACTAAAAACATGTTAATACTAAAACAAGGGGCAACAACATCTGCACTGCCTCTAGGATGCTGAGCCCGCTCAAAGGTTCTCAAACATAAATGGTTGTCTTATGAACTTATCCCCAGTTTATTGTGTTGTTCCCGGTCCTTGTTGTAAAATTGTTATTAACTGCACCCGTCGGTGGCAACTTCAATAATTTGAATATATATTTTTTTTTAAAACACCAGAAGTTGTTAAGCTCAGAAAAGAAAACTATCTCATGAGAGATCATTGAGATTTTGTTACGGGATCCCTGGAATTGGGGTCGGTGTCCCTCGCCAGACTCTCAATTTTTGGCAACCCCTGCTGGTAATAATCCCTAGAAGTCACTTCATAAGTTTGAGTGTAAGGCTGGCTAGGTGACCTGGCGTATTGTCCGTCATGAAAGTTATCTGCAGTGGAGTACCTGGGCTCCAAGCTGTAAGCCTCAGCCTGCTGGATGGAAGCTGTGCTACGGGAATATGAACGCTCCTGTGCTGTCTGCAAACTGGAACCCTGAGGGCTAGGCAGAGGAGCGGCACGGTCTGACGACATCATCAACGTGCCATCGTACTCTGGGGTGTTTGTGTGGCTGCCATAAAATTGTTTCTGCTGAACGCTGGCACTGTAGGAGGGCGGCGCGGCCACACCCAGTTCCTGTTCCGCATAGATGGGAGGTGCGGTCTCACCGCTGGCCCTGGAGTAGTCGGGGGCCCCTTGCAGCTGGTGGCTGTAATCCAGTGGGGCGGCCTCCTGGTATGTGGATGAGGGGACATTGTAGTGCTGGAGGAGCTTCTTGACGATCTCGGACGATGACGGGTCTCCTTTATACTGGGACAGGGCACCGTCGTAGTCCTCTTGCTCGTAGTCGGCATCCCCAGGAGGCATGGCGTACTGATAGGGCTGCTGGGATGAATAGTAGCCATCTGCCGTCTCGACACTTTCTGGGTATTCCCCTTGCATGCCCTCGCTGTAGTGCTGGCTCTTGTCCACCACCAGATTGACAGGTACGCTCCTGAGTTGACCACTGCTGCTGCCAGGTGAGAACTGGTCACCACTTGCCGCCCTGGCATAATACTTTTCCTGATTGTAGTAACTATGGGATGAAGATGTTTCCGCCTGGGGGGACAGGAAATTCCTTTGCTGGGAAGTCTCGCTGTAGCCAGATTGACCACTGTAATAATCCACCTGGTTTGGGGTAGAGTAGCCCCCAGTCACATCTGGACGAGGTGTTGAGTAAGAGGAAGTGATGTCATGTCGGGGTGTCGAGTAACCCGACACAATATCCTGCTGGGGTGTAGAGTAACCATCCCCAGCCTGAAGATATCCACCGCCATCCTTCACGCGGGAGGAAGCTGGCACATTTGGGTTGAAAATCTGGCCACTCAACCCCATGACTCCGTCACCGCTAGAATTCATGTCCTGGCTGTTTAGGCCAAGCTTCCGTGGTAGGTCTGAATCATTCCTAGAAGAGACCGCGTGCTTCTCAAATGAGCCGTCCAAACTGTTCTTTCTGATGACACTGGTGTGATGCCCCCCAGAAAGTGAATCCTGCCTTGGGATGGAACTCGGCTCAGCATCGCTGACACCGTGTCCCCCGACTTCTTGAGATTCATTGTTGGTTTTCTTCTTGGGCTCCTTTTTTTGATCGCCTCCCTTGCCAAGCACTTTCTTGATTCCCTCCATGCGAGGTTTCCTAAAAGTGGAAGGGTACTTTATTTGTCCATCAATAATGGGGAATGGCTCCAGCTCACCTCGGTTTGTATGCCCCTTTTTGTGACAGACAAATGAGCCGGAATGGGCAAAACTCATATAGCATAATTCACATTTAAAGGGTCTCTCTCCCGTATGCGTGCGCATGTGAGTTTTCAGTTCTGTGGTGGTGTGGAACTTTTTGTCGCAGCTGGTGCACAGTTTCGACTTGGCCACATTGTGCCGACGCATGTGAAGCGTAAAGCCATTCCTGGATACCAGCTGGGTGTTGCAGACGGTGCATAAAAAGTTTTTGAGATCTGCCTGAGAGGGGAAGGATTTCTCCGAGGCAACGCCCGGTGCCGTATCCCAGTTGTTGGGAATTTCATCTGGGGTGCCAGTGGCAGGGGTAGAGACGGGCTTTAAAGCAGGGTCTACAGTTTGAAATGGAGCTATTGTGGACATCACTGGCAGCGGAGAGTTCAGCTGAAACTGTGGTTTTGAACCTGAGAGTATCTGTGGGGCCGTCTGGCTTGAACCGACTTGTGGTCCTAAACTCCCGCCGGAGGCGCCCTTGTAACCCACAGAATTATCAACATCTGTTCGGTCAGGCACAGTGTTAGAGAGTTCCGTAATGTTTGTTTGATGTCCTGTAAGGGGCGCCCGCACAATACCAAAGTTTTTAACAGGAAACTCCCCTTCACCCTCTTTACAGGGAGACAGCCCATCATCCCTGGCCGACGCATCGTCTGCCGAGTGCAGGCCAGATTTCCCATGAGCTTTCTTCTCTGCCTTCAGCCTCCTCAGCTCCTCAACCTGCCTGTGAGTTTCTTTCTGTTTCAAGAGTTCGTTCTCATCCAGACTGGCCGCCAGAGGGTCGGCCGTTGAAGATGAACGTCTCTGACGTTTGGCCTCACTCGGCTTGTTTGGGGATGTCTTGTCCTCTTCTTTTACGGCCGTATCTCCAGGGTCTTCATATATGAACAGAAAAAAGGATATCAATCAATATTTTACTGTAGCTAAGGATATTTTTATTTCATCATTATTTTTTGGTAGAGAATTCCACTGACATCTGCACTTTAAAAAGACTCAGTATTTCTCACTTTAAAAAAGACTCAGTATTTCTCACTTTAAAAAAGACTCGGTAATTATAGTTAGTTATAAATTTTAATTTATCCTCTGCAGGCTGATTTCACAATAATAAACTTTAATTTTCCTTTAAAATGATCTAAAAATTATATTTCCAACTCATTTATTTTTTATAAATTAAGCTAAAACCGAATTTTTTGTCTCCGTTTTCATATTTTATCCACATTTTGGTTTGGCTCATTTTTTTATAAATAAATTGTTTATTTACATTTTTGAATGAATAAATTGTTTATTTACATTTTTGTATGAAAAAAATGCCTATTTACATCTTTGAATGAATAAATTATTTACATTTTGTGACAACCCTGAAAAGATTGAGTTTGTGATATGTATAACTGGCTTCACTTCAAATCTACACTAATCCTCTAAGCAGGGCCGGCGCTAGGAGGGTCCGGGGCCTTCTGCAAATTGAATTTTGCTGGGCAGTTGAAGTTATATATTCCGCAGATAGGATATTAAGACGGGTCTATATACAGTATAAAATTCCCTGATAGTCCCATTTCGTCTGCCTAACATGCACCCAGAGGTCTTCCCGAGATTCATCTCAAAGCAATAGTATGGCAGCCAGGATTACCTTCAGACCATTTGACTATCTAATAACTCCGAATATTGTGTTGACTGGAAAAGGAACTACTAGTAGACTTAGGTATATTATAAATATACTACAGAAACGTGTGGCGCCCCGCCGGACGCCCACTTTGTCATCCCCTAGCACCTGCCCTGCTCTAAGATTTCACACTGTTCTTGAGTTTTAAAAAAATTAATAACTTTCTTAAAATTTAAGCCAGAGAATTTGTCACATATATGAATATGAATATATGGGAGATAAGTAATAGGGTAATTATTACTTAAATAATATACAGAGTATTAGAACTTGAGAAAACTGACCAATCAGAGAAGAGTGAAAAACAATGGAAGGAGTTGAATAAAATGGGAGTCGATTCATGTAGTTTGTTTGGAGAAGATTGAACAGTCTATAATGTGTTGATACATTATTAAGTTTAAGAAGTAAAGAAGATTATCCTTAAGCTAGAAATTGAAATATTCAAGTATGTTCAGATTTTCATGAGATGTATTTCATATTATGATTGTGTATAATAAAATATTAGTCACTATTTGGACCACTTCACCTCTGTTATGATTTAAAACAAGATTGTGCAGTGACAGAACTGACATTTGTGATTCTGCTCTGATTAATGCAAGCTGTATTTATGGGGATAGCTGAAATTTATTTAATTTCATAATGAAATTTTCATTTCGAATAACTAGTCTTACAGACTTGCATGTGGTAAAGTGCAGACTTGCAAGCTGGTCAACTGTCTTACAGACTTGCATGCTGGTCAAAGGTCTTACAGACTTGCATGCTGGTCAAGTGTCTTACAGACTTGCAAGCTGGTCAAGTGTCTTACAGACCTGCATGCTGGTCAAGTGTCTTACAGACTTGCATGCTGGCCAAGTGTCTTACAGACTTGCATGCTGGCCAAGTGTCTTACAAGACTTGCATGCTGGTCAAGGCCTTACAGACTTGCATGCTGTCAAGTGTCTTACAGACTTGCATGCTGGTCACGTGTCTTACAGACTTACATGCTGGTCAAGTGTCTTACAGACTTGCCTCCACCCTGCCGTCTACATTTTAATTTTTTTTTATCTTTTATAACCATTTAATTTATAATTTTTCCTCTTTCTTATCCTCTGACTAGATTACAATTTTAAGCTAGACGTAGGCCAGCAACAATCTCAAACAATACCTTTCTTATCTGGTGACAAAAGGCTTGTGTTGACCTCTCCATGAAACTTTTGCATGTGGAGCATGAGAGAGTGTTTCTGCGTGTACTGCTTCTCACACAGTGTACATGAGATCCTGTAATCTGAATCATGGATTCTCAAATGACGGTATATAGTCGTCTTTCCAAATGACTTGTTGCAAATTTTGCATTTGAATTTCCTTACTCCATCGTTGACAATAATCTGTGGAAAGGTAAAATGAAAATGGTGGGGTTTTTTTTTTTTAAAAAAGTAACTAATAAAAATGTTCTTACTTTATGACTAAAATGAGAGTATAACTATACAATGACAAGAAATATATAAGTCCTGTTATTAATTAACTGCTGTTATTAAAATCAGAACAGAAATGTGACTACATCTAAGCATATTAACACTGTCATTTAATTGTGTCTAATAGAATCTTTTGGTCAATTTTGTAAAAAAAAGAATTCTACTGCATACATACATTGTAAAAAATAAAAAATATAAAAATACTATGTTAAAAAAAGCTAATAAATTACAGGAAAAACATAGGACCTGGGCTCAGGTCACTTTAAAAGCTTATTTTATCCATGTGTTGACGAAGGGTCTCTATGGAGAAATAATTTTTTTATTTTTGTCACACCCAGAAAAAGTCTGAGCATTACAGAATTTAATTTTGACGATGTCCTATTTTTCCTCTGCCCAACTTGTGGTGAATGCCGCCTAATGAAATCGTAACACGTGACATCACATCTCATCTAAAGAATACATTTCAGCATTCATACAAATTCATAAACTTACATCGTATTGGTGCTTTCGTTCTTTCATGGCCTTCTTCTCCTCTTTTTTCTCCTCCCCATCGGTGATCCCTTTAGCCAACGGGCTTCCAACAAGCGAAGTGCCATCTATAGAAGATGTGCTGTCATTAAGAGTGGTGCTGCCTAGGTCGCTCTCCATCAGTGACTGCATGCCAGATTGAGATGTTTTGGTCAGACCATCCATGTTTCTCGGAATGTTTACTTGAGTCGCTGGGTGACCGTTAAGGTTTACCAGGCCCAGGTTTGAAGACCCGTCTAGATTTCCCTCCTCCATGTCTAAGTTGACGGTGTGGACCAGGTTGATGCTGTCTTGAAGGGAGCTGTCTTGGCAGGCACCAGTGTCCTGTCCACTGTCATCATATGCTTCCACTGCCGAGAGAAGTGCAGTGGGAGAAAGTGCCTGCCTCAGCCCTCTCTCTAAGTAAGCAAAGTCTTGCTGTCCCAGGTTAAATCCAGACAGCTCCTGGTTAAAGCTGGCGGTGTTAGCCGATACGTGACGGAGAAAACCTTGAATAAGGTTCTCCTGCCTTGTCTCAGTCAAGTCTGTGTCTGGCTGTGACCCCGTTCCATAAGTGGCATTGTTAGTATTAAGTGGTTCATCATGTTGTGCTGAATACAGGGTTGACTCCAGAGAGCCATAGTGCTGATGCCCTGAGAAGTTCTATTTAAAAATATAAAAAGGTAAGTTTTATACGCATATAAAGTAAACATTGGAAGGGACTTTCATATTATCTTCACATATCGTGGTTACCCAAATACAGGAACCTTTAAATACATTCATAACATTTTGTTGATAATGGAACTAACAAAATGTTCTTTGATTACACAAGAAAGTCACTAACTATTTGCTAGGGGGTAGGAAGCCATTTGCATTACTTAATGGAATGATATTTAAAGCATTGACCTCTCTGACCTCTCAAGTAAATTTTGACAATAAATAATTTCAATGAAAGGAATCCTGACCTACATTTGTGTGATTTGAATTAGATCTAAGCAGATAAGATAAGATAAGATTCTTTTATTGATCCAAACAAATGGAAATGTTTTATGATTGCATTGTACATTTTCAGCACATATAAAAAAAACGAACAATTTGAACACAAGACATTTGTAATATTTTTTCACTAGCAGCCATTCCGTGAGTTCTCTTAGCCATATCGGGGACTTAGTAGTTCTCATTAAGATTTTTTAATTCTGGGGGAGCACGCTGGTAAATTCGTACAGATTGGGAAACAAAATAATTTTTATATCTTTCAGTCCTCGCTCTGACGGAAAGTATTTGTCCCGAAAGGACTGATCTTAAGTATCTGTGATGAAGAAGGTGGGATGTATCATTCAAAATTGGTTTAGTTTTACAATAAAATCTTTCTTCAACTAGTTCTTCCAGAAAAGGATGTTTAGTTTGTGTTATGTTCCCAGCTTTCTTTGTTAGTTGGTTTATGCGGTGTTTAATATCAGACGTTGAATTCCCACACCAGCAGGTAATACTGAAATTAAGTAGGCTTCCAATTGTTGCACTGTAGAATAAGTTAATGACTTGTTTGTTTACGCCAAAATTGTACAGTCTATTGAGGTAGAACAGTCTTTGGTTGAATTTCTTATACAGCATTTGGCCGTGCTCATGCCATGTTGGCTTATTATTAATGTTAACACCTAAGTACTTATATGCCTCTACTTTCTCTACATTTTTTATTTTTTTATGTTGAGATTTGTAATCTGGTGTTCCCCCCTCTTGAAATCAACAACAATTTCCTTTATTTTTGAGACATTCAGCTTGAGAAAATTTTCATCGCACCAATTGATAAAGCTTGTAACTAAGTTGCGGTATAAGCCTTCTCCTTCAGATATTAAGCCAATGATGGTGGTATCATCAGCAAATTTTAAGATTGCAACGGGGTCGCTTGAGCTTTGAATATCATTGGTATATATTGTATACAGTACAGAGGAGAGAACGCAGCCTTGTGGTGCCCTGGTGCTTATTTCTCTGGTTAGAGATAATTGGTCATTTACCTTGACATATTGTGGTCGATTTGTTAAAAAGTTCAGTATCCAAGCCTGAATATTTAAATTAACACCTAACAAGGAAATTTTCTTTATCATAAGGTGTGGTTGGATAGTGTTAAATGCGGTTGGTAAGTGCAACAGGTCGTAAGTCGTCGTTGCAAGCTACCTTATTTTTCTTTGGAATTGGTATGATTTCTTTTGGCTTAAGAAAGTTGAGGATTTTAAAAATGTCGGTGCTGGTACTTAATTCTAAGAAAACTTTTTTAATTCCAGTGAAATCAAAGTTATAGAAATCTATTTGAATTATCTACGGAATTAGTGATCAGTGAAATCAAAGTTATGGAAATGTATTTGTATTATCTATGGAATTAATGATCAGTGAATTCAAAGTTATGGAAATGTATTTGTATTATCTATGGAATTAGTGATCAGTGAATTCAAAGTTATGGAAATGTATTTGTATTATCTATGGAATTAATGATCAGTGAATTCAAAGTTATGGAAATGTATTTGTATTATCTATGGAATTAGTGATCAGTGAATTCAAAGTTATGGAAATGTATTTGATTTATCTATGGAATTAATGATCAGTGAATTCAAAGTTATGGAAATGTATTTGTATTATCTATGGAATTAGTGATCAGTGAATTCAAAGTTATGGAAATGTATTTGTATTATCTATGGAATTAATGATCAGTGAATTCAAAGTTATGGAAATGTATTTGTATTATCTATGGAATTAGTGATCAGTGAATTCAAAGTTATGGAAATGTATTTGATTTATCTATGGAATTAATGATCAGTGAAATCAAAGTTATGGAAATGTATTTGTATTATCTCTGGAATTAATGATAAGAAATTTGGGTGTATGCAAAATTAAATACTTATTTTGTAGAGGGAAGTGGTAAATTTGTGTGAACACCATCTTTCCATGAATGTGTCTCTCATGGTGTTATAAAAATTTATTTGATTCTCCTGGACAAACATATTAGGAAAACAGTTGAAATGTCAGAAGCATCTTTCTACTAACAAGGGTGTAACACTGAGGCCGACTATTTTAAGTTTGATAAAGGCTTCATGTCAAACTGGAAATTTTAAAAAGTTATGAAACACAAGGAAGGACAAAATCTTGACAAGATTAATAATGAGTCATTCAAAGTTGAATAATAATAAACTTCCTGTAGTGACATGTTATGGGTTTGACATAAGGCAAACAACCAGTTAAGAAGAACATTTGGTTAAAATTTGCCAGAACTAGGTCAAATTGAACTCCTACCTGAACGGTGGGATCTATCGGTGATGTTAACACTGCATCCTGTCTCCTGGAATCTGTTAAGCTGGGATTCGGGAAGTAATCCTTTCCCCATGATTCCACCCCAGCATTGGTAACGGATGGGGACACCCTCCAGGATGGATCCTGGGGCGTGGAATGATGTGGACCAGACCAGGACTGCGACGACTGAGGCGGTGCCGCTGCAGAAGAAGATGATAAGGTCCAAGCGGACGAGGATGAAGACAGGGGTGACGAGGATAATATAGAGGGGGGCGTGGCATTCCAAGAAGGCGATCGCCTGTATGCTGGTGAGGCCTGTGGTTGTGAGGCAGTCCAGTTCTTTTTGGTCGCAATGCTCATAGGTTCCCCTGTTGATGGCGGGGGCGTGGCCACCGACTGCGGTGATTGGTCCATCCACTGTGAAGACTGTAATAATCCTGATGATGAGGACTGTACCGATGTCTGATTGCTGCGTGGAATGGATTTTAAGGGCGCGAAGGCAGATACTGACTGAGGATCTGACGACAGCCCTGATTTTCTTGCAGACAATGTGGGATCGCCAGCTTGAGGTGACCAGGAGGATGATATAATTGATGATGAGTTTGATTTTCTATTAGGACCAACTCTGAATTCAGATGCCTTGGAAGACATTTTGGAAGTAAGTGGACCGTTCATGAAGTTGTGAGGCAGAAGAATTCGGTCACAGCTACCCCTAGACACAAAAAATCCACTAATAGGAACAAGGCCTTCTGAAACTGAGAATAAAGATATTAACATGAACCAATGTCATATCATCTCAATCAGAATCACATCAGCAAAAACAAAAAATTTAACATTTCAGCAAATAAACATATAAATGTTTGTGAAAGATATGTTAAATGGACTTTGTTTTTAATATAAAAAATTTGAGAACATAACACAATGAGAGTTCAAAGCGATTTTTTTAATTAAACAAAAGAAATAAAAAACTTAAAGAGATTAGCATCCACAGGAAGTATGTGAACAGTGTTAAAATGGCTGGTAGGGTAGGGGTTAAAGAGACAAGCATCCACAGGAAGTATGTGAACAGTGTTAAGATGGCTGGTAGGGTAGGGGTTAAAGAGACGAGCATCCACAGGAAGTATGTGAACAGTGTTAAAATGGCTGGTAGGGTAGGGGTTAAAGAGACGAGCATCCACAGGAAGTATGTGAACAGTGTTAAGATGGCTGGTAGGGTAGGGGTTAAAGAGACGAGAATCCACAGGAAGTATGTGAACAGTGTTAAGATGGCTGGTAGGGTTGGGGTGGGCTCATCATTTTGGCATCTGTTATAGAAAGGTCAAACTCTAATGACATGAAGTCAATGAAATTTGTGAGCTGCTCAGCAAAACAAGGTAACTCCAGTCAGATGAAGTGACAGGTGAAATTAATAATGAAGACTCATTTAAAATAAATAACAAATACCAAATAAAAAAGAAAAAAAGAGGTTTTTAAAAATACTTGAGCTCGCTTCCTCAAAGAGGATTTTGTTTTCAATGTTAAGATATTGAGATTCTATGTTTTACAAAAGTAGGCTTCTGAATTTATTATTTTTTTGGTACGGTACTTTATTTTTATTTAATCTTTAAAATAAAGGGGATCAATGTCTTGAATGCATATTTAAACTGTTTCTACAATGTGGTAAATAATGATGTTTATGTTTCAAAGGAGATTTGAAACAAAGCTTAAGACATGTCATTTCAAACAAAACTTAAAACATAACTGTCATATTCAAACAATACTTAAATCTGTCATTTCCAACTACCAATTTAAACTGTTTATTTCTAATATTCTAAAAAAATTTGTTTTCCATCAAAACCAATGTCTACTAAAATTGATGATCCCTAACCTTGGAAAAGGTTGGTATTTAAATTACAGGAGAAAAATCAAGGTTGTAATCTTGATTAAATCAATTAGGCCAGTGCAATAAATTATTGAAAAAGAGTTGCTATAAACTGTAAAGGAAAAAAAAAAATCATGTGATCACAATACCAATAGTTTATCAAAATTTAGTAAATAATTTAGTAAATAATTATCAATATTTAAGTTTCCTTAAAAATGTAACTGACATAATGGTTAAATTACCTTCCAAGTCGGACATGTCTTCTCCCAAAACTGGCACCAACTTGTACATGACCATTTTCTGCCTCGCATTTTCTACGTTCATTGAGCCACCGTCTTTCTGTGGCTGGACATGGTCAACCCTGGACTTGAGATCTTTTTGGGAGGATGGTGGGGAGGAGTATGAGGTGAAACCAGCCGAATTACGACCAGGGGTGATCACAGATGACTCCCCGCTTTGTTTAGAGGCATTTCTGGATGAGGACTCAACAACCCGGTTTCTCAGTTTTGTTTTGATATCCAAACTTTCTAACTGCTTTATCCGCAGTTCGGGTGTTTCTGGGGCGGGTGCCTCTAAATGGTTTACTGACATGTCAGGTTTGCCGCCGCTAAGTGATTCTGCTGCTAAGACACTGCCTGGTTTGGCCTCCTGTTTTGTCATGTCTTCTTGGCTTGGCCAGATTTCAGAATGAGATATTACATCTTTGGCCTCAAGCTTGTTTGAGATTTTTTGGGGTGTTGTGAGTACATTTTCAAGATCAGACTTTGAGTCCTTGACCTTTTCATCTTCTTTCATTTCAACATTATTTTCATGATTGCTGGCGTCAGAGGGCAGTGCATTATTCTCAGAGTTTGTTCGAATGGGCCTCTTTTTCTTTTTATGTGATCTGCTCTTAGAATCTGGCTTCTGTGTACCCAGTCCATCTGCAACATGAGCCACTTCATCAGGAGCCACTGCAGGCATTGACCCTGTGATTTCTCGTTTGTCTTCTTGATTTTTCTGGGCTTGTGTTTCAGCAGCAGCAGTAGCTTGTGTCTCTGTCTTTTTGGTGCGCTTTCTCAGCACTGGAAGTTCATCAATGAACTCAGACGGGGCGACCCTTTTTGGCTTTGAGGCCAGCACAGGCAGTTCATCAATGAACTCAGATGGGGTGACCCTTTTGGGCTTTGAACCCAAATTGGGCTGAGAATATTCAGTTTCAGCCACTAGTCGCCTTGTTGTCATTCTATGTGCCGGGGCAGTGCCTGCATTGTCTGGACTTGTCGACCTTGACGTCACCGGGCTTCTTGATCTTGAAGCTGGGCTTCTTAATTTGTCCCTCAGTGCTGCTCTGTTTGCCTGTGGTGCAGAATTAGCTTTTCTGCTGGAAGAGTTGGTTTTGGAATTTGAGCCCGGAGTTGATTTGATTTGTTCAGGATGTTTGGACTGATCGTTTCTGCGGGTTCTGTGAATTGCTGTATCTTCTGGGACGTCATCTTTCCTTTTCTTTGAAGAGGGTTTATCTTCACTCTCACTCTCCTTATTGTGCTTGATGCCAGGCGGCTTCTCTGAAGGCTCATCTTTGGCACTCTCACTCTCCTTATTGTGCTTGACGCCAGGCGGCTTCTCTGGAAGCTCATCTTTGCGATTTTTACTTCTGGTGGTCATTCTTGGTTTACTCTCTGCAGCTGTATCTTCTGATGATGAATAACTCGGAGATATCTTTCTACCTCTATTTGAGGGATTCTCTTCTACAGAGTCTGATGCTTCCTCCTTGTAGTCTATTCTGGTCGACCGCCTCTTTGATCTCCTGGTGCTGTCATCAGCATCACTCTTATATATTTCCTTTTCTTTTTCTCGTACGCGCAATCTCTGCGAAAGCCTTCGATTAGCACTATCTGTCATTGAATCCGTCTCAGATTCTTCTTCATGAGAAACGAGTTTATCCTCTACTATCTTCTCTTGTCTTGGAGTGGCTGACCTTTGTGGCACATGGTCAGCCTCTTTCGGTGTTTTATCCTTTCCATGTTCCACCTCCTCAGTGTCAGCACTCACTTTCCCCGGCTGCTTGTTCAGATGGGGTCCTTTTTTATTGGGAAGGGTTTGTAAGGAGTTCTGTTTCTTGTGATTGCTGTTGCCAGACGAATGTTTCTGACCTGGTGTGACCGCCTTTGCGCTACGTCTTGTTGGTGTGTCTTCTTGTTCAAATGGCTTTTTAGGTTTCCTCTGCCTCACTTCACGGCGTGGTGTGTCCCTGTTGGCCACTTCAGATTCTTTCACTGGTGACTCCTTTTCTTTTGTACCGCTGCTGTTTTGAGCATTTGCTACTTCCCCACCAAACACCACCGAGGCAGAATTTCCAGTTTTAATAGATGGTTCATGAGCCTTTAAAGGTTTTGTTTCCTCATTAGTTGAAGAGCTGGCAAAATTCTCAGAGCTCTTAGTCTGAACAGTGACCTCTGACTCCTGATTCTGTGGGGCCCCAGTTTCATCTTTACCAGCTACAGCCAAGACATAACGCTCACTTGCTATTTCTGACAAAAACTTAAGACCATCCTCGCTCCTGGACATGTCCGACAGACGTGTGGGCTGGCTTTCAGAGTAAGCCTGGCCATGACCTCCAGTCTCAAACTGACCAGTCTGGCTGTTGATCGGCCGTCTGGTTTCATGGTTTGAATGATCTGCAAACAGTGATTGTATCAGGCTGGTTTCTTTCTCTGTCAATCCTGCTGTGCACTGGGGCTGGAAGTCTTGAGCTGGTTGCATGATGAGTGAGTTGACAAGTGACTTGGTCTCCCTGGTCAGCTTCTGTGGCTGATAGAAGCTGGATACTGAAGGATAGAGCTGCATCTCCACAGTTGGTTTGTCTGATGATAAATGCTGGTGACTCTTGTCACCAAAAGTGTCACCAGAAGGTGTGCTCACCTCCTCTCTTCTGTACTGCTGTTGAGAAAACTGATCAAGCACAGGCTGGTCCAGAAGTCTGCTGTCTGTTTGAAGGCTTGGACTGTCCTGCAGTACAAATCCCTGGACATCAACCATCTGAGAAGGGAACAAACCCAGGGGTTTAGAAGCTTGGGGACTGCTCTCCACAGATGACAGCTGTGAGACAGAATCGTGACTTTGTGTGTGGGACTTGTTGCCTTTAGGCTGCATATGCTGCCAGATGGGGCTCGCATTCTCAGCTGAAGGCACAGGCACATTGGAAGAAAGCACCGAGGGCGTCGCCAGTCTGGTCATTATCCCCCCAGGTGACCTTGATTTTCCCTGGGAGTGGCCGTGACGAGATTTTTTCTGCTCCTGCGGGCGGTGGTGGATAATTTGACCTGGGCTAAAAACCTCGGCAGGCTGACTTGATGAAATGGAGATTGGGAGGCAGTGCAGCTCTGTGACACTGCAAGCTTTCTCGGGAAGGAGCTGCTGACTCAGTGATATCTGTGAGCCTGGTGAGTTGCCCCTGTCTTTTGTTTGGTCCGGTTGTGTCCCGAGACCCAATCCCACATCCCCAGATAACCTCATCTTTTCCAAATTGATGGTCACCGGCTGCCCAAGGTGACTCTGGCTGTGTTTTTGTTGTTGAATGAGTTTGTGATCGGACAAGAGATAGGATGCCACCGTTTGTCCTGTCTTTGCCTGTGGTTGCTGCAAGGAAGGGCTGGCGGGGGAGGGCTGAGATGGACTGACAGGCTGCCATGGACTAGCAGGTTGTCTTGGACTGACTGGCTGCTTGGGCTGTGGACTGGCACTGTGTCTGACGGTGGAAGAATGGGGGACCGTCTGTTTTGATGACTGGCGCGGACTATTAGTCTGACGAGGATAAGGACTCACAAAATGACATGGACTGATTGAAGAAGGATGCGGGCTGACAGTGCGGCGCGGACTTACTGATTGCCTAGGACTTGCAGGCTGTCGAGGGCTGACTGGGGAATTAAGCATTTTGGCTATTTCCGGATGCTGCTGATTTAGCGGCGGATTATGATGAACCAAGGTCGGTGTAACAGATCTCAAAGAAGGCTGGTCTCTACGAGAGATAATATTTTGCCGACCCAGACTGTCTTGCTCCATTTTAGATTGCTGAAGGATCTGGTCTACTTTATTCTGCTGGAGCAACTGTTCAGTCAGTTTCGTCCCACCTGAGCCATGAGTCTGCTTTGATGACTCAAGAATGGCAGACCCGGTTTCTTGTTGCTGGAGTCTCTGAACCAACGGTTGCTGCTCAATGGTAGAGTTCCTCTCCAAAGAGGCATTTTTCACTTGTTCTTGAATGCTTTGTTGATGAGACAACTGTGTGGTCTTAACCGTGTAATCTCTCACCAGCTGTTGGCTTTGATTGATCTGATGTTTCTCTAGAGGTGTAGTAGATTTCTGATTTCCCTCCCGACCCATTCCTTGGGCCACAACATTGGACCCTACACCCAGCTGCTGATGATGAATTATCAGCCCTTGGTTTTTGTGAAAACCTGAATTTTTGGACCTGTCACCCCCTGAGGTGGATGACAGCTGCTGTTTCTGCTGTTGAACCAGCAGTTGCTTCTGCTGCTGCTGAGCCTGTTGCACAAGCTGCAACAAATATTGCTGCTGCGTCTGCTCTGTTTGTTGCTCTGGCTGATGCGCTGCTACGCTCTGTGCCAGCTGCTGAAGCTGACTTCCTGTTTGATGAGGATTCATCGGACTGGCTGGTGCTGGTTTCTTAGCCAGAGCCGTCAAAATGCCAGGCTGCTCCTGCTTCTGAAAACACAGCTGGTCCTGAAATCGCAGCTGGTTTTGCAGCTCTTGCTGCAGGAGGATATTGTTCTCGTGAACTGCTGCATCATACTGGCTCACCCCGGGGTCAGGTTTTATCTGCACATTGCTCACCTGGTACTGTATCTGCAGACCCTGGTTAAACTGTGACGGGTCCCCAGAGGTCTCACTGCAAACCAATGTGCCGGCTTGAAAGCTGGAATCTGTACTTTCTGGCCTTTTCGCTGTGGACAACTGAAGCATTCCTACAGGTATAAAATCATTGTCATCATCTTCATCATTAATGTTATCCACTGGCAATTTCTCTACTGAATTTTTCTTTTTACTACCTCTTGATCTGGCTTTTTTGGGCTTTGCATGCTGCTGATTAGTTTTATTGGAAACAAAGTGGTGTGCCTCTGAGGAAGATGAATTTTCACCTTGCACATGAAAACTTTCTCCACATGCCGCCGATGTGTCACAACTGTCAAAATTTTGAAAAAAGGAACCCGGTCTTGTGGTGGCCGATCTCCCACCCGCCAATTTAAACTGGTGGAGGTTCTCAAGCGTTTTTCCGCTGTATTTCACAGCGTCATTATTTGCAGTAGTTTTCTTTCCCAATCCCGAAGTGTTCTTGATGTATTCAAAATTGTATAATACACCAGAGGCTTCAGCTTCCACCGGCTTATCCTGACAGCTGTCCAAGGACACCCCAGTTTTAGTAGTTCTGGAATTTGAATCACTCATGTGGGCAGATGCTGAACTTTGAGCAACGGTGGACAAGTTCCAGTTCATAACAGACCGTCCCGAGCCTGTCAAGTTCCTTTCAATACCTTCGCCACCTTCATGCGATGGGTGCGCAGCGGTCGCAGTCTGTGGATTGCCCTGTGATGTGTACACCAATGTCTGTGGATTGCCCTGTGAGGTGTACACCGCAGTCTGTGGATTGCCCTGTGAGGTGTAGACCACCGTCTGTGGATTGCCCTGTGATGTGTGTGCCGTCATCTGTGGATTGCCCTGTGAGGTGTACACCACCGTCTGTGGATTGCCCTGTGATGTGTGTGCCGTTGTCTGTGGATTGCCCTGTGATGTGTGTGCCATCGTCTGTGGATTGCCCTGTGATGTGTAAACCGCAGGATTTGGATGGCCAGGATTGAGTTTCCCAGGTAAAGAAGTTGTGGCATTCTTAGATGAGTACAGCTGTGCGGGTCCACTGGATTGCAGCCCTTGACTTGACTGTGGCATGTGTGAAGTTCTCTGCGTATAGCTCGGGATGGTGTCCGTCTTGTCTACGTTGTTGTTGTTTTGGTGGGCTGTGGAGCTGATGGTGACCAACTGAGCAGCAGAACTCATGCTGGGTGAGGAAGTTGATGCTGCCATCTGGTGCTCTTTAACACTGAAAGACCCGCCATACTTGGCCGCGCTTATCCGTTCATGATGAATTGAAATGGTTGTGCTGTCAAAACTTTCACACTGGGGATCTCTTTTCCCAGATGTCTGAGCCCACGGATGAGGTGAACTTGAGTTGGCCAACCCGGCCATCTGCTCTGAGGGCGCATGAAAAGAATGGATATTTTCATAACTAACTTTCTCACCGCTACCAATATCAGTGGTCCTCGACTCGGGCATCGCATGTCTCTCTTGACCCTCAGTATTGTGGGTGTATCCAGCCAGTTCTCCAGCTCGATGGTCATCTAAAAATGTTGCAATTCTTCCATGCTTGACATTCTCTTGACCGGCAACTAGGTTTTTAGTGTGTGATCCACCCTTGTCCATTTTAAGGGCTTTTGCCTAGAATACCATGACTCTAATCCACTTTGTCAGAATCTGGTTGAGTCCATTTTTAAATATATTTATATGTATTTGTGATGAAGAAGAAGGAACAATCCATTTCAATTTGTATATTATACTTCTACCGGCCCAAATTGAGGCTACTAGTTGCCAGCATTCTAGTCTCCATCTGCAAAGAAATTGAAAGTGAATACATTAGTTTCTCTTATAGTTATAGTCAACTGAAAGGAACTCTTGAAATACCAAAAGTTGTGACTTTTTAAGGCAGAGCAAATAATAGTCTTAAAAATTATTTACATGGAAAATGTATTTACATTTTGTGTAATTAGATTTTTTTTTTAAAAGATTGTAAAATTTTAAGCTCTCTTAAATTTTTTTTTTGTTGAATGATATTCCCTTTAAAGTAAAAGTATCAGTTACCATCAGTTAACGCATTGTGGGTGAATCAATGGACAATAATAATAATAATAAAGTTTATTTGAAAATCATGCTTCATCCCCAAAGGCTCGAAGCGCTGTACAAAGTCAACCATATTAAAAGAGAAATGAAAAAAATCTATATTATACCACATTGAAATACAAAACGCAACATTACAAAAACTACATACGAGAATACCTATTTAAAGTCTTTCATCCCTTGCAACCATAAACAACACATGCCAATATACATCTAGGAGATAATAGCTTGCTTGAAAAGATGGTAGACAACATCACCCCAGCAGGTGTTTGCGAAATAGATGTGTTTTCAAATCGGTTTTGAAAGACTCCAGCGTCTGGATGTTTCTGAGAGCGACAGGAAGTGCGTTCCAAATTGTTGGGCAAGCAAATGTGAAAGGGCACCTTCCGTAAGTCTCAAGGCGAACACGTGGTATTGAGAGTTTGCCACTATCGGATGAGCGGAGTTGTCTAGTGGGTACATAAGTCGTCATTAGCGCTTTGAGATAGGACGGTGCTATGTCATGCAAGCAGCGGTAGCTCAGAGTTGCAATTTTGTACTCTATGCGAGCGTGGACGGGCAGCCAATACAACTCTCACAGAAGTGTTTTAGCATGGCCGAATTTGCGTTTACAAAGAACAATGCGAGCCACATTATTCTGTGCTTTTGCATTTTATCCAGGAGCGTAGCTGGTCGAAGACCCACCATGAGAGCATTGCAGTAGTCCATGTGCGATAGCACGAATGCAGACATCAGCTTCTTTGATGCATCAAACGTTAAGAAAGGTCTGATATGACTAATTCTGCGCAGCTCTATAAAAATCGCCATCCAAAGCATATTAATGGATTTTCCACATTTAGTGTTCTGTCTAAGAAGACACACAGGTTTCGCACTGTTTGAACAAACTCAATCTGTATACTTGAGATAGTAAGGGATGGTGTGTTATTTACAGATTTTAGCTTTTGAGCTGTAAGAATGGGGATCAGCTCGGTCTTCTGATCATTCAATTTGAGCTTGTTTATGTTCATCCAGTGCTTAACTGACTCCACTGTCTTCTGTGTCATACTAAGAAGTTGAGGGAACTGAGAGGGGATCATGGATTGCTGAAGTTGGGTATCATTCGCGAACAAGCGATATAGCATATCAAACTGCTTGATTACTGCACCCAGGGGCTGAACGTACATGGTGAAAAGCACCGGGCCTAAGACCGAGCCCTGGGGTACTCCGAATTTGATAATTGATTGCTTCGAGGTTAAGCCGTTCGCAATAAATGATTGGACCCGATTTGTCAGATACGAGTGGAACCTTCTCAGGACTGTATCGGTGAAACCGAATCTTATTTGCAGACGTTGGAGAAGTATGCCGTGGTCAAGTGTATCCAACGCTGAGTATATATCAAGTAACAACAAAAGAGATACCTTGCCCTCACCACAAGATGACAGAAGGCCATTTACGACGCACAACAGGGCAGTCTCAGAGTGATGCACCCTGTATGCTGACTGGAAAAGCTCAAACAAGTCACACTAAGTGAGGTGGTTCAGGAGCTGGCGGAGAACGACTTTTTCTCAAATTTCGGATACAAATGGTAGATTTGAGACAGGGCAATAACACATTTGGTCGAGATTTGCTCTCTTTAGTAGTGGAGTCACAACCGCCTCTTCAAAAGAGAATGAAACAATCCCAGTTTTCGAAGACTGATTTATGATACTAGTTATGATAGGGACTATTTCATCCAAACATTCGTAAAACAACCCTGCTGGAAGAGGGTCGAGCAAACATGACTTTTTCTGGGAGTCAACCAGGATTTTCTTCACATGCGATTCAGTGAGGTCCAAAATTCGCTCATAGGAGTTCCGCAAGAATTCGAGAGCATAGGTGCAAATGTCAAGTCTCGCCTTGATCTTCATAACTTTTGTAATAAAGAACTTATTTATATCGTCTAGCAGCTCGCTTATGGCAATGTTATTTGGCAAAGATGTGTCCTTCTGTTTACTGGTCAGCTGACCCACAATACGACAACAGGATAGGTTAGCGCTGGTAACAACCTAGTAAATCCTGGAGCTCCACCTTAGATTCCTGTAACATTATGTTTTTAGTGCATGATTTAAACTATCTGCCAATAATTACTAACCATCTATTTGGCCACTCGTTAATAGCTAAAAATATTTGTAAAGTCAGATCGGCAAGGGGGAAAAAAGAAAACTTTAATCACGTTTAACTGTCTAAGCCAGTGGTTCCCAGCCTGTATATTTCTCAGGAACTCAGCGGCCACTCCAGGAAACTTTCAAACACTATTAACTTGTAAGACACAGGAAATTTATCATTAAAAGGGCTCTATGAGTCAAAAAGGTTGGGAGCCACTGGTCTAAGCACCTCACACTGTGTACTAACTGTAGAACGCAAAAAATAGTTTGATATGAAAATTCTTTTACAAAATATACAGGCTTGATAAACTTGATAAACTTATATTTAATAAATAATTTGCCATTTAGTTATGTCCCGGTGTTAGAATCCCTGAGAGTCTTTGTTAAAAATGAGAACAGTGAGAGTTAGGGCGCCTGAATGCGGACTTTGAGCATAGGGATACTATAAATAGAGGGATACTATAGAGGGATACTATAAATAGAGGGATACTATAAATAAGTGTATACTTAAGGTCTAGCAGTAGTAGTCATTAGTGCAGAGGAGACTGAGGGAGTTGAAATTATAAATAGGGGTATACTTAAGGGCTAGTAGTAGTAGTCAGGTGAGAGCAAGAGAGTAGGAACACTGAACGTAGTAGTGTCATCAGTGATCCCGTCAGTAGGTCTAGTTCTTTGGCTACGTTTGTAAGCAGAAATTACATTACTAACAGGCGAACTGTGTTAAATCAGAGTAGAAGTCAATAAACATTAATTAATTTTAATTAAGATAGACTTTACATCAAGTGTTATTCAAGTGTACATGGGTAAGAATCATACCCAGACAATGACATGAAGACACACCATGTAAGAATCATACCCTAGACAATGACATGAAGACACACAACCAAATTCTTGATAACACTGCATTTCTTATAGAAATTTTTTAAAATTGGTAAACTAAGTACTAAGTGACAGTATGAATATCCCTGAAAATATAACAAAACATACAATTATTATTTCCAGAGGCAAAGCTGCTATAGGTAATCAAAAACTTGCTAGTAAGCTATCATTAATATATACCAGTGGTTCCCAACCCTTTTGACTCGTGGAGCCTTATTTAGAAACAAAATTTTATTAGGAAGCCCCTGTCGCCCACCGTATGTCTTACAAGTTGATGGCGTTAATTTAAATATTTAAAGAGCCTAAAGTATTTTAAATTGATTGTGTAACAAAAACCAAAAAGTAGCAGAGGGAATTCCAAAGCCAAACAATGGCTCTGGGTGAAAATATATTGTTTAAGGCTGAGTAGAATGGGAAATTAAGAGGGGGGAATGTGTGTTGAGTTGGGAGAATAAATTGGTTTGGGAAAGTAGGAGTGATAAAATTGGGAGATGGTTGAAGCAACGATGAGACTGGAGGACAGGGAAGGATGAAGTGGCGAGTGTAAACTATAGAAAATAGGGCTGCAAATGTTTTTAATTCAACTTTTTAAAAGGTCAATGAATATGAATTATGGTTAGAGTTTTGAGACATGGCTAGGGTTAAAATAAATAGCTCCCATTTTATAATATTGGTAATACAAATTTGAAAATTATCTTAATTTAATAATTAATAACAGATAGAAAAGGGAAAGTAAGGCAAAGACAGACTATATTTATTAAATTATTTTAGGCTATAGTATAGGTCTAGGTTTTAGACAGTAAGCACTCTTAGACTCTTAGTAGTAGTAGCTATAATTATTTATACTGACTATTTACTATTAATACTATTATCATAATCATTCAACTTAAATAATATTAATAAAAAATATGCTACTGACTTAATCATTAATTAATATATTTATGCCAAGGTTAGTATAGTTTTATTACTAGGCTTTGCTTATATAACTATTATTAACAATAGGATTGGGGTCTATTTTAAAACATAATTATGAAATATCAATGAATTCAATGTGGATTTTTTATTTAGTTTTATATTCAAATTTAAAGCTAAATAAATATGTTTGAATCTAAGACTAAATTCAACTTGTGTCTACTGAGTTAGCCTAAATAGTTAAGCCTGCCTAAGCCAAGCCCAGGACTAGGACTAGGTGCTTTCTTAGACATAGTCAACAATGTTACTAGTTAAGTTAGTCAGGCCTATAATTAATAGGACATACTTAACACCTACCTGCCTATGGTAATAAAAATAAAATAATCTACTCTGAACCAAGCCTAATAGTTTAAGCACAATATAATAAGTATAAGTTAATAATGAAAAAATAAAAAGATTATCAAAATTTATTAATAAAAAGATATTTTTAAATTTGTAGGCAAAATAAAAACTAAATTAAAGAATTTGGTGTGGATGCCTACAAATAGTAATCTCTTTTAAAAAGTGGTGAATTCACCATGCGAGCCCCAATCACTACAATAACGGCTGAAGCTATCATTTATTTAGCCTAGCCCTGCCTGGGATTGTTAAAAAAAAAAATTACAAATAACTCCATAAAAAAAATATACTTTTTTTTTTTACAAGATTGATTTACAGCACTTTCTGTTTCATTAAAAGGCATTTAATTACTTAAAGCAATAAATGAAATTAATGAGAAACATCATTAGTAATGCTTATCATCGCACACCTTGGAAATATGAAATAACAGAATCAAATGTGCATCTGAAGCTAACTGACAACATTTGTGTTGTTGGCCATTCAGGAGACGCCATTGAAAACTAAATAGTCGATTCTAGGTTCCGGTTTTTTAAACATCAAATTAAACTTTATTCCATACCAGGTTTTCTTTCTTATTTGTTTTCCCATTTTGGTTTGTCTAAAAATAAAAATAAACTTTTCTAAGTCACTTTATTTTTTCTCTTTCTCCCCCCCCCCTCTCTCTATCTCTCTCTATTTCTCTCTCTTAAGAAAATGATTCACGGTGCTTCGAAATGGTTAAATGAGCAGAGCAAACCTGCGGTGCATATTAATTTTTGTCTGCCACTAGCGGGGTGAAGGTGGTGCACTGAAGAAATTACAAAGTCAAAGACACCTTAAAAATTCAGTGTATGGGAATTACGTTAAAATTATAATAGAATATGATTTTTTTTTAATTTGACACCACTAACGCGCACCTATCAACACCAAAACACTCTCTCTCTCTCTCTCTTACTCTCTCCCTCTCTCTCTCTCTCTCTCTCTCTCTCTCTCTCTCTCTCTCTCTCTCTCTCTCTCTCTCTCTCTCTCTCCCTCTCTCTCTCTCTCTCTCTCTCTCGCTCCCTCTCTCTGTGAGATTGCGTATGTGTATGTGTGTCTTTATGTGTGTGTGTGTCACATAGAAGAAACGTCCTTGTTTTTTGTCCTGTTATCTTATTTCAAGCTTCCACATACCTCGTTTCGCTATTTCATTCATGTGTCACATACACGCATAATATAAATTATAGCTATTCGAATGTTCACCGCACCTCTTATGGTTACACTTTGGGACTGTGTGCTGCCAAACTAAGAGGAACTGTTCACCACTTTAAAGCCCCTCGCTGTTTAATTTGAGTTTGAGCTTGGTGTAAGGTTTTCGAGGAGCTAGTTGTTGCACGACACCAGTCCTTTGGTGTGCATGGTACACGAAACCGAATTTCGTGCAGGCACCAATGTTCCCTTTAAGCTGCGTGGAATGTATGGACAATGAGAGGAATCAGCACCAAAACCAAAATAAATAGTTCAGAAGGCAGATGTGCTCCCAACGCTACTTTTATGCATGTTAAACATGGACAGTCCATCAACGCCGTGCTAGGAAGCTAAAACACTTCCACACGACGAGCCTGAGAAAAATCCTCAACATCAAATAGCAGGACGGGCCCGAGACGCCGATGTACTAACACAAGCAGGTCTATCCAGCACCTTACTAAAGCATTCACAGCTTGGTTGGATCAACAAAAATGTAAATTGTTGATTTTTTCCCAAATGCTACATATTCTTTAAGCAATTTCTTTTGATGGGTAAATATTATATATGCTGTATTACAAGGGAGTCTAAACTAAAACGCATTGAAACTTTAATTTAAAATAGTCATAACTGCATCAATGTTGCCAACTCATGACATTAAAACTTATGGACAACTAGACCCATTCTAAAGCGGACAACTAGGCCTATTCTAAAGCGGACAACTAGGCCTATTTTAAAGCGGACAACTAGACCTAGTCTAAGGCGGACCCCTAGGCCTATTCTAAAGCGGACAACTAGGCCTATTCCAAAGCTCCACATTTTTAAAGACACATTTTAAAAATCAGCTGGTTAAAATTATGAAGCTGAAAAAAAAAAAAAGAATCTCCTTAATCTGTGACATTGTGCACTAGGTCAAATATGCGTATGACTATGACTCGATGTCTTTTTACGTTGACGTTGATAAGAAGACATGAGACTATTTTTAGGGTTAGTGCATTGCACGGCACTCTTCCAGCTTTTCTCCCCCATTGTAGTTATAGAAGTTTAAAGCAAGCAAGGAAAAAAAAAGGATCGTTTTTTTTACGGACATACTTATGGAAATTTAAGGACAAATTATTTTTCGATTAAATTTTTATGGACTGTTCGTTAATTTGGTTACCGAAAATTTGATCAAAAGAAATTTCGTCGACGGTAAATTGATCGACGGAAATTTGATCGAACGGAAATTTGGTCGAACCTTTTTTTCGGTTCACACGTTAAATTTTTCGTCAAATTTCTTTTTGAACGCACTATACTATATAGTAAAACAAAATTATGTGTTCAAAAAGAAATTTGAAGCAAAATTTTAACGTAAAAACAGAAGAGATAAAAGCTTCGATCAGATTTCCGTTCGATCAAATTACCGTAGATCAATTTACCGTCGACGAAATTTCTTTCGATCAAATTTCCGGATACGGTTAATTTACGGTTGGTTGTCGACCTTGAAATGCGTCCAAAAATTAAAAAGACTAACTACCGTTAAGCATTCATCTTCCCCTCTCCCATTTAAATCTCGGAAACAACTCTCTAAGAAAAACTTGAAGGGCACGGCAGGATGATTAGCCACGACTCCAAATAAATAATCCATTCAACGTCAAACACGCAACTCTCAATTTTTGACAACAGTTGCATTTTATTTTTAAAGAGCTGACACAGAAAGTTAATTTTTCAATCAAATGCGGATTAATGGATTTGCAATGTAAGCCTGTGGATTTGTGGTGTGAATCGTTACGTTATTAATTTTACGCAACCACCTTTCCTACTACCGGTTTGTAAATGGCAATGCTTCTTTTTAGAAGGAATAATCAAATTTACAAATTTTATAAGACCAGAAGCACACTCTCGTATATAAAGCTCTGCTCTATGTAGATTTTACGATATCAATATGATAACTTGAGGCTCAAGTTGAGCATGGTATTCGTTTGAGCTATATAATGAATTCAGCAAAGGCGTGGAAACTTCTCAGGTGAAACCCTGAAAAAAAGAACGAAACAAAGCAACGAACGTGTCGACAGGAAGCCTTCTTCAGCAAAACAAAAACAAAACAAAAAACAAACAAACAAACAAACAAAAGGAAAAACATAATTAAATTTTAAAAAATAGTACTTAGCTGAAAAGTATTAGCCGAGAGGCATGGGCGCCCGCAGAAAACTTTCTAGGGGGGGAGGGGGCAAAAAAATCGATTAACCTTCCCGAGGGGGGGCAACAATTTTTTAGTAATGTTTTAATATAGTTTTAATTTACTGTAGCGTATTTTTGTGGTGAACGAACGGGCAGGACATCAGCTTAGTTACTTTCTCTTTATTTTCTCCTTATTTTAATACATTTTTTGTCTATTTTTTGTCTAAAAATTTTTTATCCAATCAATCCAGTGCCCCACCTTGCCCCTACCTGCGGGCGCCCATGCCGAGAAGGCAGCTAAAGAATAACGTCAAAAGAGAACGTTCAACGACTGTTCTATAGATTCTATAATTACGACCAAATGCATCTGCTCCTTCATAATTAATTTGAACAAGAAACACAACCAAAGACACAATATATTTTCTTGGTATCAATAGATTCATTCGTTTCAATTGTAACCATTTTCCTTCACCTTTTCGTTCCCCAAACATGCTTGATGAAGGAATGGTGTTTTAACAAACCGAATGAGTTTGGGGGCCATACAGGAAGAGGCGACTTCAATATCTTCAGCTTAATTGGAAAAAAAATTAAGATGTGTCTTTAGAAAGGCTCCTTGCTTAAAGAGCTTGCCCCCCCCCCCCCCCCCCCCAACGTTGAGATAAAATGTCGGGTGTTTTGAAAATGTACTTGACAGTTGTCGGTGGAGGACGACTAATAGATATAGAACATGTGATCGTACAGGACTACTAATAGATATAGAACATGTGATCGTACAGGACCACTAATAGATATAGAACATGTGATCGTACAGGACTACTAATAGATATAGAACATGTGATCGTACAGGACCACTAATAGATATAGAACATGTGATCGTAGAGGACAACTAAAAGATATAGAACAGGTGATCGTACAGGACCACTAAAAGATATAGAACAGGTGATCGTACAGGACTACTAATAGATATAGAACATGTGATCGTACAGGACCACTAATAGATATAGAACAGGTGATCGTAGAGGACAACTAATAGCTATAGAACATGTGATCATACAGGACCACTATTAGATATAGAACATGTGATCATACAGGACCACTATTAGATATAGAACATGTGATCGTACAGGACCACTATTAGATATAGAACATGTGATCATACAGGACCACTATTAGATATAGAACATGTGATCATACAGGACCACTATTAGATATAAAACATGTGATCGTACAGGACCACTAACAGATATAGAACATGTGATCGTACAGTACTAATAGATATAGAACATGTGATCATACAGGACCACTATTAGATATAGAACATGTGATCGTACAGGACCACTATTAGATATAGAACATGTGATCGTACATGACCACTAATAGATATAGAACATGTGATCGTACAGTACTAATAGATATAGAACATGTGATCATACAGGACCACTATTAGATATAGAACATGTGATCGTACAGGACCACTATTAGATATAGAACATGTGATCATACAGGACCACTAATAGATATAGAACATGTGATCGTACAAGACCACTATTAGATATAGAACATGTGATCGTACAGGACCACTAATAGATATAGAACATGTGATCGTACAGGACCACTAATAGATATAGAACATGTGATCGTACAGGACCACTAATAGATATAGAACATGTGATCGTACAGGACCACTATTAGATATAGAACAAGTGATCGTACAGGACCACTAATAGATATAAAACATGCGATCGTACAGGACCACTATTAGATATAGAACATGTGATCGTACAGGACCACTAATAGATATAGAACATGTGATCGTACAAGACCACTATTAGATATAGAACAAGTGATCGTACAGGACCACTAATAGATATAAAACATGCGATCGTACAGGACCACTATTAGATATAGAACATGTGATCGTACAGGACCACTAATAGATATAAAACATGCGATCGTACAGGACCACTAATAGATATAGAACATGTGATCGTACAAGACCACTAATAGATATAGAACATGTGATCGTACAAGACCACTATTAGATATAGAACATGTGATCGTACAGGACCACTATTAGATATAGAACATGTGATCGTACCGGACCACTAATAGATATAGAACATGCGATCGTACAGGACCACTATTAGATATAGAACATGTGATCGTACAGGACCACTAATAGATATAGAACATGTGATCGTACAAGACCACTAATAGATATAAAACATGCGATCGTACAGGACCACTATTAGATATAGAACATGTGATCGTACAGGACCACTAATAGATATAGAACATGTGATCGTACAAGACCACTATTAGATATAGAACAAGTGATCGTACAGGACCACTAATAGATATAAAACATGCGATCGTACAGGACCACTATTAGATATAGAACATGTGATCGTACAGGACCACTAATAGATATAAAACATGCGATCGTACAGGACCACTAATAGATATAGAACATGTGATCGTACAAGACCACTAATAGATATAGAACATGTGATCGTAGAGGACAACTAAAAGATATAGAACAGGTGATCGTACAGGACCACTAAAAGATATAGAACATGCGATCGTAGAGGACAACTAAAAGATATAGAACAGGTGATCGTACCGGACCACTAATAGATATAGAACATGTGATCGTACAGGACCACTAATAGATATAAAACATGCGATCGTACAGGACCACTATTAGATATAAAACATGCGATCGTACAGGACCACTAATAGATATAAAACATGTGATCGTACAGGACCACTAATAGATATAAAACATGTGATCGTACAGGACCACTATTAGATATAAAACATGTGATCGTACAGGACCACTAATAGATATAAAACATGTGATCGTACAGGACCACTAATAGATATAAAACATGTGATCGTACAGGACCACTATTAGATATAAAACATGCGATCGTACAGGACCACTAATAGATATAAAACATGCGATCGTACAGGACCACTAATAGATATAAAACATGTGATCGTACAGGACCACTAATAGATATAGAACATGTGATTGTACAGGACCACTAATAGATATAGAACATGTGATCGTACCGGACCACTAATAGATATAGAACATGTGATTGTACAGGACCACTAATAGATATAGAACATGTGATCGTACCGGACCACTAATAGATATAGAACATGTGATTGTACAGTACTAATAGATATAAAACATAAGATCGTACTCCGTTGTGCAAACTTTGGCAACGTGATACATTGTCACTTCTAGAAATTAGCAACTGTACAAATGCCGTTTTCATTTGCTGAGGCTATAGTATGCAAAAATGTTAGGATTTTGAGGGGGGGGGGGTAGTAGGAATTTCATCCTTTCATGTAGCACTACAGACCATTTAGGGCTTTGGCCTGCCTCACTACTTATTTTCACTTCCAATCAGACCTAGCCGATGCTTTTATTTTCCATGCTTGGAATTTTGGATCACAGCTGCTGCAGATCTTTTTCCACATCATCCATCCATCTAAGCCTAGGTCTGCCTCTGAGCCGTTGTCCTGGGGTGTTGGTGGTGCATCCGCTTCACTCCTCTGTCATTTGGCATTCTAAGTGTCCCACCCAGCGCAGCCTTCCCCCTTTTTATTTCTGCTACTTGCCTAGGATCCTGATACAGACTGTAAAATGCCTGGTTGGTTCGTATTCTCCATCCCTATTCATCCTTTGTTAGTCCATATATTTTCCGGAGAACTTTAATCTTCCATGTGTTTAATAGGTTTTCTGATGTTTTTGGTAGGGTCCAAGTTTCACTTGCGTAGTAGTGATTAGGAGGTGAAAATCTCTTTTTTATGTATGTGTGTATGGCTATGTACAATACTTTAGCCAACTTCCTTTACTTCCTTAACCATAATCTTCGTCTTTGCCTGCCGTTGTTTTCTTTCGTTTCCTCTCCATTTGTTCAGAAGCGGACAACTAAACATTAAATGCAATTTTAATTTATGTACTTTAATTTGTTTAATAGATGAAACCCTTCAGCCAAACCGCCATTGTCCACTTAATTTTGCCTAATTTTATTGAAGCGTACTATGACATGTCTGTTTATATAAATGGTTTGTATCTTTAATCTTCTTTAACTGCTGCCTGTTATGGTTGGTATTATCATTTGCAGCCACTGGCGTAGGAACATGGGCTTGGGGGCTCCAATGTGGCGTGCATGATTTTTTTTTTGTTTTGGAAATGAAATAGCTCGTGCTAGATGTGCACTCTATAGCTTTTGTGGTGTGAAAAGGATGGGGGGGGGGGGGGGAAGACTGCCCCTGGCCCCTGGGCGTCTCAAACTCTAGCTACATCATTTCTTATAAATCATGGACTTCTATCAGAGTTGCCAACTGAAAAACATAAAATTTACATACAAACATAGTGAATCTTCCAAACAATAATGGACAAGACTAATTGTTTACATGCAATGATAATTTTAGACATATTTTTTAAATATTTTTTTTAAATTTTGATGCCATTTTTAAGCAAATGTCAGTATTCAGTATATAGCTATAGCATGTCTATATAACCCTACATAATATGGTTATTTAAGCCTAATAACTTAATAACATTCTCATCAAAGCTTTTTTCTTCTGATAATGATCATTCAAGTTTAAAGCAAGCAAAAATTAAATGATAACCACAGAAGTGTCAAATTTTGTTTTGCTTCAAGTTTTTGGGCAATATCACCTTTTTAATGAGTATTCTAAAGCTTTTACAGACAATCATTTTAAGTCACATTTTTACGACTGTCAGTACATTTAATGACGACTTGCAACCCTGTCTTTTCTGAAACATTGAAGACGTTAAAAATAGTAGGCTATATGCATTAATTGTTAAAATTTGTATAAAAGTTAATTATAACAATGTCAAAGATTGGATTAAAATTTGGTAAAAATTTAAGTTAATGAAGATAATATTATCAGTATAATAATTAGTTATAAATTACTTTCTCTCCAGTTCAACTGTTTAATTTGTTGTTCATAGATAAATTGTAATTAATTGGCTATAAGAGCTAATTTAAGCTCATTTTTTTTGCTCTTTAAGAAAATTAACTCTCATTTGTCATTTACAAAAGTCAAGTCAAGTTTGTAGATGAACGATTAGTTTTTCTTTTTTTTTAATGGCTCGTGTTATTAATTACATTTATTTGTTAAAAGGATATTACATGCTGTATAAATCAAATAGGTCTAAGCTAGATAGGTATATAAAACTGTTAAATTCAACAATGAGTTAACACATGGTAATAATATGTGTCTATAATTATTTGTTAATTAAAAAGTATATGTAGAATATGTGTTTTTTAAGGGTAATATAAACAACAATATGTTTTTGCTTAGTTTAAACTTTTTATTCATTTTACGAGTATTTGACATTTAAAATTTCATTTAAGTTTAATTAATTAAAAGAATTTAACCCAAAACATAATAATAATAGTTACGGAGCCTACAAAATCTATTCGAATTCCAGAGTGTAACTGCATTTTAATTGAGTGTACCGTTAAGTAGACTTAACATTAATTTATTAATTCAGCTTATTTTATTGAACAGATTTAATTGAATTTTGGAATAATTTTTGTCATTTGCATTCAACAAAATACAGAATTTAAAATTATTAATTTTAAATTTATTTATGCATTTAAATTTGATTTTGTTTATGTCAACAAAATTCTTGTAGACCTCGCTCGTTAATTAGACTAACCATAAAAATGTTTAAATATATTTCTTTAGTATTATTTTTTTATTTGAAATATAGAAAATAAATATTTATTTAGATTTAATTGTCTCCTCTATTTTATAATTTAATATAAATCTATAAATTATTTTATTTAGTCTCGCGTAAAGACGTGAGGTTGCAATGAACCCGTGCACGTAACTTCCTTTTTGTTCCACGCCGAGCAACATGCCTGTCGTAAGTAGAACTCGCTCTAAAAATTCATTGTTTATTTCTTATATCCGTAATTAGTAATACTTTTTTCTGGGGCTACCTTTACGATATAACACTGTTTCTTGCGCCTATTGAACAAATTAATATAACAGAGATTCATAATATGTTATACACGTACATGTTCGAGCCAACTTGGGAACTACTATGCTAGGTACTTGGATAAAATTTTCAAATTGAATTAATTAAAAAATGAACACACCTGTAAGATAGCTCTTGTTAAATGAAGTAATAATATGTTTTCATTTTTCATGTAGCACTTTTGGTTAAAAAGTTATGATTTTTTTCGTGAATAAAAACTCACTTTTTTTAACATAGAGATTTGTGACCTCTTTTCCAAAAATTTTCACGAAAAGGCTGATAACTTTATAGCAGAGTAAACAAATATTATGAAACTTTCCAGAAGTGTTCATCATCATATTAGCAACATTTTTGCTGATTTAAAAACTAAAAAAATTAAATATAATATTTTAAAAATATTTTTAATGTCATTATAAAAACTTCCACAAAAAAAAATTAAAAAATTATTTAAAAAAAATTAAGACCAAACGTAATTTATTTTTAAAAAGGAAATATAATAGAGGCAATATTACAATAAAAATTATGATTTAACTTGAAATGGAGCAGTATCTGATAAAATATTACTTAATATGTCTATTATTGTATAGATATTGAAATAAAACCTAATATTAATTAAGATGGAACTTGATTGCTTAAGGCATAAAAAATGTCTTGGGCTTTCTTATCTGTCAACTATAGTTAAATAATACTGTTTCCGGTTTGTCACTTTCGTTTTCGGCCTTTTTTTTTTTTTAATTTTTTTTTTAATTTTTAGACCCGTTCTGGCCAAAAATAACATTGTTATGGCCATCTTAGAGACTTGAAATTTTACATGGTGATATTTTATACAATTTCACAGGTACACCAGGTCGATTTAAAATGGGACAACGAATAGTTTTCAAAATATTGATAAATTAGACTTAGCTGCTTTCTCACATTTTTTTTTATTTACGACATATTGATATTACTGATTACAAAATGGATGTCGTTAAAGCCCGTTCATTAACGTAACTAGAACAGTAATTCGTTCGTTGATCCGACGTTTCTAGCGCGAAAAAATAATTTTTTAGTGAACCCTATCATCCAGCACACCAAAAAAAGCGTCTCAAAACCCTATGGGCCGCGATTACGTCAACATAGCCTCATATTTAAGTACCTAACTATGCCTATGCAACAACGGCAGGCATTGCCGCACTTCAAAAGATTTTAAGGCTAATGCAGAGAATTGGTGCCATGACGTCATTAGGGATACATTGAGGGTTCATGTTAGGTTTAGTGACAGGGGATTATAAAAGTTCTCGGGTAAACTTACACCACATTTCGAGACCCTTATTTTGTTTTTGTTTTGCGCCTATAACTTCTATAACTTAATTACTATAAGGAGGTTAGAGAAGTACTTCGGCTCGATGAAACAAGGGAGACTACTACTAATGTGGTAAATTATTAGTCGTTTCCCGGGGTTTCCCATCAAGGCCGCCATCTTGGTTGACACGACACATGTGAAGTCACGTGAAGTGTCAACCAAGATGGCACCCAAAAAGTAGTGCGAAACACGTTATGAAACGACTTTAAATACCAAAATCAGAAACAAAGAAATTATCTGAGACCCCTCCCCAGAACCCCTCCCACATCACCAGCGTAAAGACACATGGAATTTACACACTGTGGCAGTGGCATAAACTATGAAAATGAACAAAAACCACAAAAAAATGGCAAAAAAATATTTTAAAATTTAAGAAATAATTAAAACCCAACTTACAGTTTCATGAAATACACTTTTACACACTTTATTTCAGGTTCCAAAGAAAATAATATGCACAAATGAGTAGAGCACAACAGCCAGCTTTGGGCTAACAATTTGTACTGCCATATTTGCAACATGTTGCAAATATGGCGGTACAAATAATAAGATAATTAGCCAACCAATGAGAATTTCAAATTATAATCAACCAACCAAATTTTTGTGAAATAAAAAGCAAAATAAAGGAAAATGAATGCAGATTTATTATTTTACTCACGTTTCCTTTAATCCTCATATGAACAAATATTTGCAAAAAAAATATTGTTTGGGATCGTGAGCCATCTATTGACAAACGCTACCACAAAATCAAAGTGTGTACAATTCAAAACTGCTTACAACGATGATTTCACTAATATTACTAATTATATTAACATCTAGTTCCAATTTATAATCAATTCGTGCACTTGATTGTCACTTAATTTAAATTGAATTCTCCGTTATCACTTGAATAATCGTCAAAATCCATTTTGAAAAAGAGGGATTAAAGCCAAAAAAAAAGATGAAATACTTATAAGTGGCACCCACTCTATCCAGCTATCAGAAAAACCAGATGTAAACAATTAGGTACTTGGGTAAAATTTTCAAAATGAATTTATAGCTTTAACAGCTAGTTGGTTAGATAGGGCCTGAAAAATGCAATTCAAACCAAATTTATGTTTGTAGGTCAATTCTAAAGAAAGGTATGATTTTTTTCGTTAGTTATTTTGGGATAACTCTGTTAATTGAGACATATAGGAAAATATAAAAGTGACTAAAATAAAAATTGGTGCAGAGAGTTAGGAGAGATGTTAACTCATTCCCGAAGTTTGCGACTAAATGCGTCTTTTCGGGATTCGCCGGATGCGTCCAAGTGCGTCCCGGCGCATAGCGACACACCTCTCTCATGTCTATTTAAAAATAGCAATGAAATCTCGCATCCCTCGATACTTCCGGCGATGGCATGGTTCAGCGTGATTTTAATTTAAAAACCGGAAGTTTTTATCTTGTTTCGCTTTAAAACTACGTGTGCTTTAGTACGGCGCGTCTATATGTAGCATGTGTTCGTCCGATGTGCCGAAAATCGATTTTTTTGGTCATTGTTCGTTATTTTTCCCCCGCTAATGTTATATTTATATTAAACCTTATTAATTTTTTGTTGCATTTGTTCTTAATTCATTAACATTAAATAATATTTAGTAGCTTAAATACATTTTTAAAAAAATGTAAACAATTTCAAAACGGGGTTACTTCCCTTTCTCAGGCAAATAAATTAAATACGGAAGTAGCATTGCAGGAGGGAATGAGTTAATGTAGTTCCTTCGGGTAAATGAGTTTTTAATTTAAATCTATAACATATTACCTCCTCAATGATATTTAATTTATTGCGCAGAAATTAAGCGGTAAGGCTAATCATATTTTGAGTGTTGTCATTCAAAATAAGTATTCTAATAAGCATTATGCTTCACAAACATCTTCCCATTATTTTCAGAAAGCTGTTAAACGCCCAGGAAAGGTCCAATCTGGAAAGGGTGGCAAGAAAAAGAAGACCACTCTGAAGTACACCATTGATTGTACTCACCCAGTTGAAGATGGTATCATGGATGCAGGAAACTTTGTAGGTTTTCAGTTGTATTTTAAAATAAATTCTACGAATTTATCTAATTTACTTTCTGTTTCAGCTAGAGTTAGTTTTAATTTCCTCCACTAAAATTTATCATACCAAGGAAGTTCTTTAAAAGCCAAATGTTCAGGACATCCTTCATTGGGTCATTAAGCTTTTAGAAACATTTATAATTCTACTGTCAGCAAAATTATTCAACTACTATTTATGCCCTGCCAATCAATGGCTATGCGTGAACTACGTGCCTCCAGATGATGCACTTTATAAGAATCCCAATTATTGCTGAACACATTTTTTTCACATACTAATATTCTAATGTCCCACCTACCCCACTTTCAAACTAGATTTATTACATAAAATTGAAATAGGGATTATTTCTGTTCGTCAGAAGAAAATATCTCATGTAGTGCAGTTAACAGTAATTGTATTTCTTGGGCTATTGAACTCACCATTACACCATACGTTCTTAAATATATACCCCCGGTATAGAATTTATTGAATAAAGTTGACTAATGAACTATTTTCAATGAGTCAAATGATGAAGTCATATTTAAACACTATTAACTCATTCCCGACTGTTGCGACTAAATGCGTCCTCTGGGGGTTCCTCCTGATGCGTCCCGGCGCATAGCGACACACCTCTCTTATTTTTGGTTAAAAATATCAATGAAATCATGCGTCCCTCAAGACTTCCGGCTATGGCGTGATTTTAATTTAGAAACCAGGAGTTTTTATCTTGTTCCACTTTAAAACGTGTGCATTAGTACGGCGCGTCTATATGTAGCATGTGTTAGTCCGAGGTGCCTAAAATCGATTTTTTGGCCATTGTTCGTTATTTTCCCCCGCTAATGTTATATTTATATTAAACCTTATTCATTTTTTGTTGCATTTGTTCTTAATTCATTAACATTAAATAATATTTAGCAAATAAAAAAATATTTAAAAAATGTAAATCAATTTCAAAATCGAGTTGCTTCCCTTTTCTCAGGAAAATAAATTAAGTCCGGAAGTAGCACTGCCGGGGGGAATGAGTTAAAGTCTAGTTCATTCAGTGTGGTAGAATCTTTTTGAGAACCTGATTTCACAACCTGGATTTAATGGCTAAGTTTATAATCAGTTGACACTAAATCTCAATATTAGTACTACGCTTACAGCCACCTGTATTTTTTAAGTAAAAGCAAAATGGTCCCTGTTTTGGAAATAATTATATTTTACCATTTTTTTCAAATAATTGTTACATTAGCAAAACATCCTGCCAGCTAACTCACTTATGTCCCATTGTGTATCCTCTTACTGGGACCTTGTCCCAGGGAGCCAGTTACTTGCATGTGCCTAGGCATATCCCAGTAACAATTCACTCATTGTTAATGTAGTTATACTATACATTACAAACTTAAGAGCATGTAGAAAATCATACAGCACATTCCAGTACCCAGTATTACGTGCCATTACAATTTCTTAGTCTGAATTAGAACCCATTCAACGAGGGTACAGCTAAATCCTGCTGATACTCATAGCCACCTCAGCATGCTGATAAGTTAGGATAAAAAAAAAGCTGAAATCTTGCCATTATAATAAAAAAATCTCGCTCAAAATATGACACTAATAGAGATTGCTTCCAAATATTTTATAGACTGAATGAGGAGTATTCGTTATTTTAATGTGGGTAGCAGATTTTTTTTATTGTAATAAGTAGTTGAGTACCGTACTTATCATAGTTTGATATTTAACTCATTCCCTCCTGCAATGCTACTTCCGTATTTAATTTATTTGCCTGGGAAAGGGAAGTAACCCCGTTTTGAAATTGTTTACATTTTTTAAATATTTATTTAAGCTACTAAATATTATTTAATTTTAATGAATTAAGAACAAATGCAACAAAAAATGAATAAGGTTTAATATAAATATAACAGCAGGGGGAAAATAACGAACAATGACCAAAAAATCGATTTTCGGCACCTCGGACGACCACATGCTACATATAGACGCGCCATACTAAAGCACACATAGTTTTAAAACGAAACAAGATAAAAACTTCCTGTTTTTAAATTAAAATCACGCTGAACCACGTCATCGCCGGAAGTCTCGAGGGATGCGAGATTTCATTGCTATTTTTAAATAGATATGAGAGAGGTGTGTCGCTATGCGCCGGGACGCATCCGGCGAAACCCGTAAAAGACGCATTTAGTCGGGAATGAGTTAAGAATTTAAAAAAAAAAAATTTTTTAAAATATATGATACAACGCATTAAGCAACCAGTTATGAATCTAAATTTGGAGTTTTGCCGCCCTGGGTTGAATTGGTTAAGGTTCTCTTGAGGTAGAAACAATAGATGTTAATCCTCTTACTGTTGCTGTTATTACATAATCAATTCAAATGTTAAGTTTTAAGAATGTCTTATTGTTTTTTTAGCAACAGTTTTACTGTTACTTATGCAACCTTTTCATACTAGGGCCATCTTCCCTAGTGTAATATTAGGGTCAACTTCCCTAATATTTTGGGGTGGCACCCGCTGCCTAAATTATTTTTTCACAGGAGAAGTATCTCATTGAGCGAATCAAGGTTGAAGGAAAGACTGGAAACTTTGGCAACAATGTGTCACTTGAGCTTAGTAAAAACAAGATAACTCTCACAAGTGAAATCCCATTCTCCAAAAGGTAAACACATCCAGATTACTTCAGAAATCATGTAACAAAAATGTCATCAGTCACAAATTTGTCAATGTTAAATGTTTTTGCTGGTTCAACTGCATATATCTTTTCACATTAACTTAAAGCAAACTTATAAACCATCCCTTCTCTACACTTGTACCGGTGCTGTTTTGTTCTTGGTTTTTTTTTAGGTTTGCTTTAAACTGCCAAATGTGGTACAGTAGTGGTAGTTGTATTTCAAATGCATAATGACCATGCACCACAAATATCTTGATAGGGATTCAAGAATATTAATTATTTCAAATAACTTGACATTACAACATTCTCACTTTTGTTACCAGGTAGAGAATAAGTCTTCATGCATCATACTGAACACATTTTTTTTTTTTAAGTTAAAGATGTGTAGTGTTGGATTTGGCTATGAATTGTTAGTTGAAAATATTGGTTAAAGACTGGAAAAGCTATCTTTTAGTTAAAAGCTATACTGCCAAGCTGAATTTATGCACACAATAATGTGTTAACCCCCTTGGCTTAGCCAGGAAAAAAAACATTTTATATTATTAAATTAGGTACCCCAAACCAAATTTTCAAACTAAACCAATAACATTTTTGAGTGTTTAAGATGCAAGATCTAAGAATTCTAAGCATGTGGACATTTAATTTATGACTTTATGACCATTATTAAGAAAGTTATGCTATTTTAAATTTTTTTCCTCGGGTTACCTTTTATGAAATGACAAAGACCCATATTCATGAGTCATTATCTTAAAATGTATGTCACCTGCACTCATTTCCTTTACAATATTTACACAATACTATACAGAGAACAAACACAATTTTTTTCAAGAGTATGGGAAATCAAACTTTTGTAATTTATTGTCGTAAAGATGGTATTTTGTAAAATTTTCAAATTTTACCAAGGGAGGCAAAAAATCACAAAAATTACCTATTTTTAAAAATTCACCAAAAATGTTGTAATTTACTCATAAACATCATTGATATATCAATTTAAAAGAGAATCAAAGATCTATACAAGTATGCAAACAAGAAGTACTTTAGCCCAACACATATTTGACAAATAGCGAAATGGTCAAGGGGTGGTAATTTATTTCACACTTTTACACATTTTTAAAATTATAAAAAAAATAATAAATAGCATACTATATGTATGAAATCTCTTATAAAGTGAAGATAATAGTAGTCTTCATATAAAATAAGCATACCTGACACCATAAAATAACCATAGAATAATTTAAACATTTGACAAAAGTAGTGTACAAAAATGTTATTTTTTTAAATTTTCTTTTTCGAAGCTTGACTTAAAATCCAAAGGACACAATATAAAACAAGATAATATATATTTTACAACTCTTTGATTTAACATTAGGAAATACACTAGAAAAAAATGTGCAAATTCGTAACTACAGACTGGATGGGTACATCACTTTAAAAAATCAATTTACATACCGGCATTACTTTCTTCTGAAAATGCATTTTGAGTAAATTAGATATATGGATAATATCATCACTTAATTTTAAGTTATTAGATTTAGTAATAAGCTTCATTAGAATAGAAAAATAATATCAATGCCACCATTCAAAAAGTACCGGTAATTCAATGTAGATTTGTCTGTAGATTTTAAAAAACAACCTTTGTAAAAATCAATAAAACAGACATTTAGTACTCCCTCTGACTTAACTGACTGTGCTGTTGACACTTCAAGTGTAAAGTTGATTAATCTCTTTGTTACTCCAAAAGAAGACTCATGAAATCTATACTGGGTATCCAAAGTTTGGCTTAGGAAAACTGTCATGTTCAAATCTTTGTGGTCAATCAATTCCCTCAGAACTTTTTCAACCATGGGTCAGATCTTAAATCCTTCTTGGATTTGAGCAAACCAGGATTCCAGCTAAAATAGGAATTAAAAACGAAATGCATGAACATATTTAGTTTTGAACAAGGATACTATTACTTTAAAATTAAATAGTTGCAATAAGAAGTTAGTGTTATGATCTTAACTTTTTACTGCCTTTAATATCCCTACGCAACAAAACTCACCATACCATAAAGCTCAACACCATGAACCAACTTCACAACCTACAACTCACAAAACATTCTTCCCCTATCAAACATTCAGGCTTCTAATTCTACATCTAGTTTAAAAACAGTAAGTACCTGCTCCCATGACATCATGTGTAATTTGCTTCACAACAGAAGCAATGGTAACGGCAACAGTGTGTTGTCTATAATAAGATGGGGCAAAGCTATCTTCTTCCTATTCCATTAGCCAGGAATGTTTTTGTAAGGCATCATACAGTTCACCAGCCAGCTATAGAATATAGAATACACACAATTTATAAGTTGAAACATTTTGACAGCTTTTTTCCTTCAAATTTCAATTTAATTAAATATTGCTAGTGTGGACATGACATTATATATATATATATATATATATTATAAATATATATTTATATATATAACAAACTTAAAATGTTAAATTATATATATTAAAGTTAATTATAATAAGCAATCTTCATTTATTACTCTTAAGTCTTAGAGCACCACCACTCAACTTTTCATTTTGAAATTGTTTTCATTACCAACGCAAAAAAAATGTCACGTGACCCTTTCTTAAACTTAAATTGCACGTAGTAACACAATATTTTTATAAAAAATATTCAAAAATAATAATAATTTGAAGTATCATCTACAACTTAAAGTATTATTTTGTTTGATAAAATAACGAGGAAAAAATAGATTCAAATTTAAAGATGGGTGGGGTCAATTTACTTCATGGTGCTGAAATGGCCGTAAAATTCGCGAAGTGGGGGTAAACACAAAAGTCAGTAAAATAATAATAATATTGCAAACATACAAGCAAAAAGCATATGAACGGAATTTTAAACCAATAATACACCATATTATTTAGGTTTTACATACCTGCTAAGCGTAGAAGATCCGATAAAGCGCAATTTTCTGTATCGACTGTCGAGTGAGTCGGCCATTTTTTGAGCTTCAGTCCATGCCGCGATAGATCGGTAAAAGGAAAATTTAGAGGTTCTGTTTGGGAAATTGCTGCGGTCTCGCGATACTTCATATTTTACCATTGTTTTCGTATTTTTATGTAGAAATGGACCAGCAATCTGCCCATATAATTTAAATAGCTGAATTGGTCTTAAATCCTATAGAAATCTCAGAAAATTATCATTTTTTTACATTTCTAGTGTATTAAATACAACTTTATAAATACTAGCTTAAAGGTTATTCACTGCTGCATGCATTAGACACAATTCTGAGGTCATTCTATAAATAGCGGCAAAGCTAAACGCGATTGCCACCGAGGGGGGTAAAAACGATCTTTTAAAATACCGCTAAAACTCGATGCGGTGATGTTTTTCAAACCACAAAAAAAATTATTTTACTAACACCAATAGAAAAACAAACATCATATTCTTAAAGTGCTTGAATCGATCTTTTAAATGGTATCATTTTTATTAGTATGCATGTTACAATTGTAAGAAAATATGTTGATGGAAGTTGTCTAAAATGTCAAAAAAACACTGCTTCTCAGCGATTTGGAGTACCTAATTAAATGTATTATTACTAGTACCAGATATCTGTATGTTACATGTCAATCATTTTTATTTTATTCAAAGGTACCTGAAATATCTGACAAAGAAGTACTTGAAGAAGAATAACCTTCGTGATTGGCTTCGAGTGGTTGCCTCTTCCAAAGAAGCTTTTGAACTGAGATACTTCCAGATTAACCAGGATGATGAAGAGGAGGAGGAAGATTAATTTATTCATTTTAATGCTTTTACTTTGACAGGAGTAAACTTGATGTCAGAAAACTCTATTTATTTTTTTATTTGTCTGCAAAGTTTGATTGCTTGATATAGTGTGTTGGCTTATTAAATAAAGCAAACTATGAATGTGCATACCTGTACTGTAATTCTCAAATATGTAAGTTTAAGGAAGGTAAATTTTTATATTATAATTATAGGCATTCAAAGAAAATTGTGTATCGGGTACATAGTGCAGGTAGTTGCATTTAAACTAAATTAATCAAGCTGAAAACGCCTTGCCTGACATCAGGGAATATGAATTCTATGGGTCAGTTTACTTTGGTCAAAATGATAAGTAAATTTCGATACTGATTGGTTAGGGGCTAATGCAATATCAAGCACCAGTAGGTAACTTGTGCTTGCATTATTCAAGTTCCCACAACTACAAATATTACAATTACTACAATATTCCAGCTAAAGTATTTGTACATTCATTCATAGTCTCAGATCAAGATTTATAGTTTATAAGGAACGATATCACATGTGATTGTGAAACTTGAAACTCAAATAATTGAGGTAGTGACACCAAGAGAAATGTGTATTCTGGAGGATAACCACACTCAACAATGAAAAAAATGAGTTGTGGGATCAAATTTTTCATATAGGATTTATAGTATAGTGAATAGTAGGATATGCTTTTTGGTTTTCAATGAAAATTTCATTACTGTACCGGTACATTTTTTAAAGGAAAAACTAGTTAAAGCCTCCCAAACGACTGCAAATTGCAATGGGTGAATTTTCTATCTACCAGTACCATACTAAGAGTACCGTACTACAAAACATTCACACTTTTCTAAGAACTTGCAGTTTTCCACATTTATCGATTAAAATTTAACAGTCCAAAAGGGTGCACTTCACAGAGGCTAGGAATGAGAACCGCTGCCTTAGACTTAGAGTTAGAGTATTTGGTACCGGGTATGTCAGTGTCTTTCTGTTTGGAGTAGGCAGGACAGAAATTTTGAAATCAATTCATTGGCGCATCAATCGTTACGGTAATGAATGAGTGATTTTATATAAATTAAAATCCAATAGAAATGTACACTCTTCCCCCCCCCCCCTTCCTTTTTAAGTAATTATGTCAACATTTTATACTTCCCCCCAAAAAAATGAATTGTCATTGACATTCATTCATTCAAATCACACATTGTTGAATTCTAAAGGCATCACAATGGAAATTCAACATTCTTAATGGCAGCGTGTTATTATTTTAGTTCCTCTACTAAAAGAGGGAGGGAGGTGGTGGTGGCTGTAGCGTGATGGGTTAAATTCTGTGGTGGCTGTGGCGTGATGGGTTAAATTGGGTGGTGGCATGATGGGTTAAATTGGGTGGTGGCTGTGGCATGATGGGTTAAATTTGTTGGGGGCTGTGGCATGGTGGGTTAAATTGGGTGGTGGCTGTGACATGATGGGTTAAATTGGGTGGTGGCTGTGGCGTGATGGGTTAAATTGGGTGGTGGCCGTGGCGTGATAGGTTAAATTGGGTGGTGGCCGTGGCATGGTGGGTTAAATTGGGTGGTTGCTGTGGCGTGATAGGTTAAATTTGTTGGGTGCTGTGGCGCAAATATTTAGCACAGCGTTGTAAACACGTCCCGACTATGCCGTAATGACGTCACCAATAGCCCAGTATGGAACGTTCATCTCTTGAAGGTCACGTTGATCCGCACACAGGAGGTCACGGGCTCCTTGGTTTTTAGGGAAATACGGCCATTACTCACAGCAGATAAAGACTTCCATCCGCAGGCCACTGCTCATACCAGAGAAAGACTTCCATCCATAGGCCATTACTCATACCAGATAAAGACTTCCATCCGTAGGCCATTACTCAGAGTAGATAAAGACTACCATCTGTAGGACATTACTCAGAGTAGATAAAGACTTCCATCTGTAGGACATTACTCATAAGCATTTCAAGATTGCCATCCGCAGGCCATTACTCAGAGTAGATAAAGACTACCATCTGTAGGACATTACTCAGAGTAGATAAAGACTTCCATCTGTAGGACATTACTCAGAGTAGATAAAGACTTCCATCTGTAGGACATTACTCAAAGTGAATAAAGACTGCCATCTGTAGGACATTACTTACAGCAGATGAATATTGCCATCGTTAGGCCATTACTCATACCAGATAAAGACTGGCATCCGTAGGCCACTGCTCACAGTAGATAAAGACTGCCATCCGTAGGCCACTGCTCACAGTAGATAAAGACTGCCATCCGTAGGCCACTGCTCACAGTAGATAAAGACTGCCATACGTAGGCCACTGCTCACAGTAGATAAAGACTGCCATCCGTAGGCCACTGCACACAGTAGATAAAGACTGCCATCCGTAGGCCACTGCTCACAGTAGATAAAGACTGCCATCCGTAGGCCACTGCTCACAGTAGATAAAGACTGCCATCCGTAGGCCACTGCTCACATTAGATAAAGACTGCCATCCGTAGGCCACTGCTCACAGTAGATAAAGACTGCCGCCATCGTCTTNTAAAGACTGCCATCCGTAGGCCACTGCTCACAGTAGATAAAGACTGCCATCCGTAGGCCACTGCTCACAGTAGATAAAGACTGCCATCCGTAGGCCACTGCTCACAGTAGATAAAGACTGCCATCCGTAGGCCACTGCTCACAGTAGATAAAGACTGCCATCCGTAGGCCACTGCTCACAGTAGATAAAGACTGCCATCCGTAGGCCACTGCTCACAGTAGATAAAGACTGCCATCCGTAGGCCACTGCTCACAGTAGATAAAGACTGCCATCCGTAGGCCACTGCTCACAGTAGATAAAGACTGCCATCCGTAGGCCACTGCTCACAGTAGATAAAGACTGCCATCCGTAGGCCACTGCTCACAGTAGATAAAGACTGCCATCCGTAGGCCACTGCTCACAGTAGATAAAGGCTGCCATCCGTAGGCCACTGCTCACAGTAGATAAAGACTGCCATCCGTAGGCCACTGCTCACATTAGATAAAGACTGCCATCCGTAGGCCACTGCTCACAGTAGATAAAGACTGCCGCCATCGTCTTAAAGAAAAACAAGAATTCACGGTCACATAATTTATAACGGTATAAAGTATAATTCTTTACAAGTAAGATAATTCGTGGATTGTTAAGGGAATTAATTCATTGTCTCGTCAGCGTAAAGCATAACTCTTTCAGCTGAACAGAAAACAACACAACATCTAGTTTAGAGTTTAGATACTCCCCCCCCCCCCGGGGGCCCAGTTGCGTGACGTCATTTATAGAATGGCCTCTTACTGAAGTAGGAGTTGTATTTATTTTAAGTCGCCCTTTTGGCGAACTTCAGATTGTATCCGTTCACTAACTTTAGCTACGTCACTCTGTCACGCTCCGGAGATGGGGGAGGGGGGGGGTGAGGTGGGGGGGGGGAGGGGTACGAATTTGTGATGATGTGAAATGAGGATGCATACATTTTGTGACACATTTGTGATAATTGGATGTGGGGTTTGCAAAATCAGCCAAAATATCACTCACCATTCTGGATTTAAAAAAAATTAACAATTAAATCCGACTACCGTACTATAGCTCAAACAGACTCGACTATAATTGACAAGCTTTTCAGTGAGTACGTTAAACTACAATTAATGTAAAAGTATTATTGGCCTGCACAACAGCACGAGACGGCCACGCACAGCGCAGTGTCTGTTCGCCATTTAATCTGCGCTCGGCGCAGTGTTAAAAAAAAAAAGTAGGGCCCCAGTCACAAATGAGTCATCCCGTGTGTGTGTGTGTGTGTACTCGTATCCGATGTGTAGGTGCGTGCGTGTCGCCTCGCGTAAGTGTGGCTTTCTTGCCTGAATCATAAACATCAAGCAGATGGCTAGGATGTGAAGGGGCACACAACCCCTGCACTACACAACAACACACAACGGAGCTCTCTTTTTCTCTCACACCCCCCTCCCCATCTTTATAATCTCCCCTTCAGTTACCCTCTTTTTAATTATTTTTTTCGTTACTCAAGACCAGAGCGCAACACACACACACACACACATTTTACAGCAGACGATACACCAACCAACCACAATGGCGGATTGTTTACGTTTCTTGGAGCTCATCATTCTGACCACCTCAGGAATAGTTTCATCCCGTGTCAGGTGAAACCACTATTTCGAGTCTTTTAGCACCGAGCGGAAGCTGGCAAGCGGAGCATCACCAAACACCAGAGACAGACGGGGCGCTGGGTTCGCCCGTTTAGTCTAGTGAGTGTCATTTCTTGAACAGCTGTGCACACGACGGGTGAGTAATCCAAGTAGTTATCGCCGATAAAATAATATAATACTGATAAGTACACGGACGTGTTCTGTGTGTTACTGTTACTCAGTGTGTAAGATGAAGTCTCGTATCAAGCATCGTGGCCTTGCCTTAGTTATAATAAAAATAATAATGTAATATTAACAAACAAACAAGAGTTAGACCTATAGTTATAATGCCTATAACTATTACCATTCATTGCTAACGCAACTAATAACTAATTGTTCATTTTTAGTTTATAATCGGGTCCACTCTTATTCTTATGATACTTTATTGTCGTTAACAATTGAAATCATTACTCACATGATGACAAAATCTATAAACTATAAGTTAATTCACTATAACTATAAGACCTACATTTTATAAGTTTAAGCTATACTATACCTAAAGTAACTAAAGCAGTGGTTCTTAACCTTTTTGGAGGTACTGAACCCCACCAGTTTCATATGCGCATTCACCGAACCCTTCTTAATAGGAAAAATAAAATATTATTTTTTCTGATTTTTTTTTTTTTTTTTTTTTTTTGACCTCCGCCGAACCCATGAGACCGACTCACCAAACCCCCTGGGGTTCGATCGAATCCAGGTTAATAACCACTGAACTAAAGCATGAAAACCATTTAACTTAACCCCATATTGACGACACGATTAGCTGTAGCCCACATTGTTGTCCGGTGAGTAGTAGTAGCCTAATGACTAGACCAAAGCAAG